AGGAAGAAAGAAAGAAAGAAAGAAAGAAAGAAAGAAAGAAAGAAAGAAAGAAAGAAAGAAAGAAAGAAAGAAAGAAAGAAAGAAAATGGAAAGGACGCCCCTGATGCTGTTCCCCTGTTCCCACTTAGCACACTTGTCCTTATGTCCTTTCTTGTCCTGTCAATATTCTCAGCATTGGGGTACAGTGATAAAGCAAAGACCTTGGTCTTGAAAAATACTCATTTTACTATCGCAGCATTCTTTCAAGGAGTTTTTGATCCTGGAGGCAAGGTTTTTTCTGTCTAAATCCTAGTTTCTTTATATTTTATGAGGAAGATACCAAGTTCTAGGGTACCTCCACATCTCTTCTTACTCAGAGCACTTGTAACAGCTGCAGAGGAGACAGGACTTCAGAGTTTGGGTCTCTGTTATCTAAACACATAACAGTAAGCAACAAAAACATCCCACTCTCCTCCTACCAGAGAACAAACAGACTTGAACAACTCAAAGCCCAAATGACAAAGACAACAACTCAAAGCCCAAATGACAAAGAGTAAAAGATGATTTAGAGCAGATAGACGTGGAAATGATTTCCCTGACACAAGCCCACCTTCCTCCAAATCTCGAAGAAATTGGAAGCTGGAAAAGGAAGTGTACTGTGTGTCTTTGAAACAGTTGAGAATGTGTGATGATGCCAGGGTTGAGCTCATGCTTCATACTGTGTCTGTCATGGTGAGAGACATGCTTAATCTGCTTTCAAAATTAACCATCAGAGGACAGAACAATTGCGCTCCAGTTACCACTAGCAGCTCTGACACACCAGTCAGGTCACCTGATTCTTACACGAGTATTCCCTGTATCAAAATACCTGACTCTGGGCTAATTGGGAAAGCACTCAAAAATACAGAGTGCCTGTGTTGTGCCAAACATATTAAACAAATTTAAAATGACAAAATAGATGAGGCAGACCATTGTTCTGGATGAGAAACAATGTAGAAACAGGCAACCTCACTGGGTATGCTATGGGCTAAGACATAGAGAATTGACGGAAGTCGGGGGCGGGGGAGCGCTTAGCTCAGATAGCTTCCGAAGTTCTTCATAACCTAAGATTCTGTGAGATTGTTATATGCAGAAAACCTTGGACTCAAAAGCCAGTTTAACCTAAAGCTTCTTTCTGCCCTAGATAAAACAATTATAGGTCATAATGGATGGATTTGTAAATGTAAATTATTATCATTCCTATGAAAGGCAGTTGATTGTGTGTTTGCAGAGCCACAGAAAGGGTCACTCTTCATTGCCAGAAATTCACTTTAAGACCCTAGCCCAAAACAAACAAACAAACAAACAAAAAACAAATTCAATGTCCAGACCCTAATCCATGGACCTATTAATGTGTTACTTTATGAGGCATAAAGGACTTTCCAATGCTAACTTTGTGAGGGATCCCGAGATAGATTATCCTTGGATATATTTTGTCTTAGGGTTTCTATTGCTGTGACAAAACACCATGACCAAAAAGCAAGTTGTGGAGGAAAGGGTTTGTTCAGCTTACACTTTGCTGTTCATCACCAAAGGAAGTCAGGACTGCAACTCCAATAGGGCAGGATCCTGGAGGCAGGAGTGGATGCAGAGGCCATGGAAGAGTGCTGCTTATTGGCTTGCTTCCCCTGGCTTGCTCAGACTGCTTTTTTTTTATAGACCCCAGGACCACCAGCCCAGAGTGGCACCAACCATCATGGGCTGCCCCCCCCTCCATTGACCACTAATTGTGAAAATGCCTTACAGTTGGATCTCATGGAGACATATTCTCAACTGAGGCTCCTTCCTCTTTGATAAGTCTAGTTTGTGTCAGGTTGACACACAAAACCAGCCAGTACATATTGCCATAGTCCAATATAATCAAGTGATGAAATCAGAAAAATATTTCCTAGATGTGTTTAGAGGGAGATAGAATTGTAAGAAATGGCCAGAGAGATGCAGTGTTGCTGGTAATGGAGGAGGAGGAGGGAACATAAGTGATCTCTAGATCACAAAGGACAAAGAAGTGTGTTCTCTCCATAGTCTCCAGGAAGGAGCCTAGCTCCCACCTGCTTCTCACTATAGTGCAGGGAAAGCTATGTAGGACTTGTAGCTTACAGAATTGCACAAATAAGACATTTGAAATGTACATGGTAAGCCATCAAGTTTATAGTAATTTGTTATAGCATCAGCAGAAAATTAATACAGGTTTGTTAAATAATACAGTTTCTAGCACTGATCCTATTACAACTAAGTATTTAGACAAAAAGACTGAATGAAGAAAACAAATGTGTTTGACATGGTCACTACTCCCTATATTCACTTATTCTAATTATTAATTTAACAGTGCTGTATTTTCGGTAGTCTAGGTTAGAATTCTATCATCAAATGCTTTAAGTCAAGCAAAGTTCTAAGTCTGTTATTCCCCTAAAGTTTGAGTCAATGGTTGGTTAAAGCATGCTTAAATTATTTAAATTTTAAAGATTATACTGCATATAAGAAAACATCAAAATAGCCTTACTTGTTTCTATGGCCCCTTTTATCATTTACAATTTAATGAAACTGGAAAAAGTACTTGTTGACAACATATATATGCAAATATGTGTAAATAAATGTGCATATTTATGGCTCCTGTATGCATAAGAAAAGATAAATTTGCATATGCTGTCTATAGTATATTAATGTATTTTCTGTTCATTTTATTACCTTAATCAAAAGTTAAGATATAAGACATTTACCAACAGGTGTCTAATAGATATAAGATGTCTTTCATATGCTTCCCCTAACCCACTCCCAAATATTTTTTTTTCAAATCTGAAATAAGGCTTTCAAATATTTTGTTGTGGGTATTGTAAAATTATGGAGAGACTGAGTTCACTGCCCTGAAATCTGGGTGAAAAGCAACCAGTGAGGCCATGTGAAATCTTACAAAGAGGGCAAAATGAGAGGCCAGCTCTCTATGGAAATATGTGTCCATCAATGAAAAGGAGGCAGTGGGAAATGTAGCATGAACACCCCTCTCAGGACAGAGTCATCCACCCAAATTCTTCTCACCCCATAACCTGCCTCAGTATGTGCTTAGCCATATTGCGTTTGAGTGTGGCGGTGAGAATGTAGGGGAGCCCGAACTCTGTCCCCTTCATCCGTACATTGTTCTCATACATCCATGCTATGTTCTGATCATGCCTGACACACTCTAAAGGAACAAGAAGTGAGCTAAAGGCACAAAATGAAGGTAAGCCATTCATTTCCTACTCCATCACCAAGGTTCTTGCTTCTTCCCAGAAGGTATGAAACTAGACAATACTCATCCTTCATAAAGGAAGATGAAGGTATGAAAACAGATGAAAAAATTCACAAAGGATAATATGTCTGACCGATTTTGTTCCCTTAGCACTTATATAAACATATTATTTGCACACACAAAAAAACAATTCTTTAACTTATAGTAAAGTATTTACTACTTAAATTAAAAATATGATCTCTTTCACAGTTGAAAGTGGTTCTCTGTGACTTTTTGAACTATGCTTGTCTTCTACTCCAGGAATAAGCCACTTCTAACTATGAGAGCATTGCTTCCCTTCTGCAGAACTCAAGCCTATGGGTAGCAAGAGTTATCTATTGATTTAGCTCCATTCTCTACAGATACAAAAAGCAAAACTATTTTTCCTTCAGAAAATAATAGTAATCTGACCTAAAGCCACAATTTAAGCTCTTTTGCTAACTGGCCAAGAGTGACCTCTTAGGATGGTTTGCTATGCATTTGATCCAGAACTCCCCTCAAAATCATGTATATCAAGACACTCAAAAGATCATGTTCATTTTAATAACATCTGAGAAACTTCCCAGGCCATCAAGGCTATGAATATCTGAAAAGCCACTAACGTATCTCAATAGTGACTTTACCATTATTTTGTGGCTCTTTCCATCTTTGCAGAGATGGACTCATAGCTAAAAAGGTGGACTTATAGCCTCAAAAAAAAAAGGAGTGAATGCCCAACAATGGTATGGAAAATTTGCTGTACATGTATACCAATAAATAAGGTAATGCCAAACTTGGGAGTTGTCCATGTATCTCTGGTGAGTGAGCTAAATCAACAGAGACACCTGTGATGAGTGCTTGGCCATGCGCAAGACCCATGAAGACACAGAGCCCATGATCAGATTGACCCATGTTATGATGAGCTAGCTCTGTCATAAGAAGATGACTCTGACTGAACTAGAACAAGGTGTTCTTAAACCTTAAGTGGATATGGCGTGGAAGGAAAAGGAAAATAGGAAAAAAAAATCGCAGGGCTCATGAGAAATGTCCACATAACATAGTATATGTAGTTGAAGGCAGAAGCAGGTAAAAGAAAATTTTACAGAGCATGAAAAATGAGATGGGTAGATGTGTGAAAAAAAACCTCAGTTTTAATTAAAAAAGAAAGAGTTAAAAAATCACAGCAAAGGACTGTTGTTAGATAATTTAGCACCCATCAAAACACCCACAACTATAAATCATGGTACTCACACACAATGCTTGAGAAGGTTTAGTGAAACTGAATGACTCTCCTGCAGCAGTTCATGGAATAACCCTACTAGTGATGTCCTGGAAGTGGCTCACCTCACATTGTAAGAATGAGCAACACTGATCCTGTAATCTATTATTTGAAATTTATTGTCAAAAATATTCAAAAGAAGGAAAAAAAAGTCCTCAAACTTGCTCTTTATTATCTCAAGTATAGTACAAAAAATTCTCAAACAAACAAAAAATAAAACAACAACAACAACAACAACAAAACACCTAAATTCCATTAGTCCATCAGCAAATGGCCAGGAAGTAAGGCAATACCTCTATGATACAACTCAGACAAACAATCTTTAACCATATAAAATTGCAGTTTAAAAACATGGTTAGCAATGCAGGAAGAGATTATATTTTCTGTCATATGAGTACATAATATGATTAGTGTTGATAGTATAGACACTATACTATCTAGATCAGTGGTTCTCAACCTTCCTAATGCTGTGACCCTTTAATACAGTTCCTCATTTTGTGGCGACCCCCAACTGTAAAATTATTTCATTGCTATTTCATAATTGTAACTTTGCTAGTGTTATGGATCATAATGTAAATATGTGTGTTTTCTGCTGATCTTACATGAGCCCTGTGAAAGAGTTATGCAACCCCCAAAAGTATCATGACCCACATGTTGAGAAACACTGATCTAAATAAAATGTAATTAATTTGCTCCACAATGGTGATTGGAGGGTTTCAAGGTGTGTGTGAGTGTGCATGACTGTGCACACTTGCATGTAGGTAACTTCTCCCCCTTTTCTGTGGTGATATTGTGTTCTCCAATATATTGTGCACCCTAATAAACTTATCTGGGGTCAGAGAATAGAACAGCCACTAGATATAGAGGCCAGAAAATGGTGACACACACACACCTTTAATCCTAGCATTCTGGAGGCAGAGATCCGTCTGGATCTCTGTGAGTTCAAAACCACATTGGAAACAATCAGGCATGGTGACACATGCCTTTAATCCCAGGAAGTGAAAATTATATAAGGCGTGAGGACCAGGAACTAGAGCCTGGTTAAGCTTTTAGGCTTTTAGCAGCAGTTCAGCTGAGTTTCATTCTGGATGAGGACTCAGAGGCTTCCAGTTTGAGAAAACAGAATTGGCTGAGAAGTTGGTGAGGTGAGATGGCTGTGGCCTGTTCTGTCTCTCTGACCTTTCAGCTTTAACCCCGATACCTGGCTCCAGGTTTGTTTTTATTAATAAGGCCTTTTAAGATTTATGTTACACTTTTCTGTCGTCACTGCTGTATCATTTGTATCAGTAAACAATGAAAAACTTGGTTTGGGGGAAATTATCATTGAAGAGACATTTAAGTGTTGTAGGAACAAGGAGCTTCTCACCAGCACAAAATGCAAGAAAATATAAAAATGATTAGCCTAACCATCTAAAGTAATTCATAATATATTACAAAGGACTTTAGGTGTCTGGGTACACATCTGGGATCTCTCTTTGGTTAGGTTACACAGTGAACTCTGCCACTGTCCCTGGAGATGTGCTCTATGTCGCTGGACAGCCTCGATACAATCATACAGGCCAGGTCGTCATCTACAAGATGGAGGATGGGAACATCAAAATTCTCCAGACACTCAGAGGAGAGCAGGTAAACTCGAAATAAATTGTTTTCTGTAATCTGTATGAATTCTGTGACTTTTGACCTAAAGTTTTAAAAACCCAATTATTCAAAGTCCATTGTGAAGAAGGCTTTCTATTGATTCTTTGGAGGGATGTGAAGTAGCTATAACTTTGATGTCGTAAGCACATCAGTTGGAATGAGGTAGAGGTAGATATGTATAGATGATAGAGGTTGCATGCAGTTTTATTCAATATACACAAAAAATACTAAGATCTACTGCTGTGGATATCGCTCTGTATAAATAAAATGCTGATTGGCCAGTAACCAGGCAGGAAGTATAGGTGGGACAAGCAGAAAAGAGAATTCTGGGAAGTGGAGGCTGAGTCAGAGAGACACTGCCAGTCGCCACCATGACAAATGTGAAGATGCCAGTAAGCCACGAGCTACATGGCAAGGTATAAATTAATAGAAATGGGTTAATTTAAGATGTAAGAACAGTTAGCAAGAAGCCTGCCATGGCCATACAGTTCCTAAGTAAAGTCTCTGTGTGTTTACTTGGTTGGGTCTGAACAGCTGCGGGACTGGCGGGTGAGAGAGATTTGTCCTGACTGTAGGCCAGGCAGGACCAAGAAAACTCTAGCTACAATCTACAACATCAAGAAGCATAGAAGGGCAGTTGCACTGATGCACTCATAAGAGAGGTGGCTTTAAGTTATGCTTGGTACAGGAAACTCATAGGAGCTAAACTTTGTGCTGGCTCTAAATGGAAAGATGGGATATAGATAAGAAGAAAGATGAAAGACTTAAAATTCAACACATTGGATCATGCTGTAGGTGATGGAAAATTGTATGCAACATTTAAAATTAGAAAACTCTTTAAAATATCCTTAAATATTAAAAGTCATTTAGGAAACTATACATACAGTAGGCAAATATCAATACATTCAGTGTTTTAGACTGAAAAATAGATCTAACTGTGGTATTTAATGGTTAGTTTTGAAGAGTAATTTGAGTAACTTTTGTGTGTTTCTTTTTTTTTTCCTCGTGGTTTTATGGGTTTTCCAAACATTCCACAGTGAGAGTTCATTAATTTCATTCTGCCATTTGCAAGGATGTTTGTAGTTGAACTTTTCCTGTGTCCTGGCTAGCTGGCAGTCAGAACAAATCTCTCCCAATTTCTTCCCCCAAGTAAATACACAGAGGTTAATATTACATGTAACTACTTGGCCATTAGCTCAGGCTTATTACTGACTAGCTCTTACACTTAAATTAACCCATAATTCTTCTCTATGTTTAGCCACATGGCTTGGTACCTTTTCTCAGTTCTGCCTCATCATCTTGCTTCCTCTGTGTCTGGCTGGTGACTCCTGACTCAGCTCTTCCTCTTCCCAGAATTCTCTTCTTCTCCTCAGCCCACTTATACTTCCTGCCTGGCTACTGGCCAATCAGCATTTTATTTATCAACTAATCATGGCAATACATATTCACAGAATATTGAATGACATCGCACAGCAGATGTTCTGTTTAGTCTTTGGTAGGCAGGGCTGAAATCGACCTTCCTCTTCTGTGGCAGTCCTGGCTGCAGCCATCATAACCTGCAGCCAGGTATCAGGAGTCACACTGAGTTGGTCTAGAAGTGGCCCTAGTGTTAAAGCCTTGAGCCCCAGAGGAACCATGTGCTTTATGATAGTATAATCATAGCTCACAGGGGCTCTGCAAAAGGCCACCACAGTCTGAGAAGCCACATAATATACAAAGAGTTCTCTTCCACTTCCACCTACCCTAACTGCAGCATCCTAACCAAAGTTATTTTCACCCACATCAGCATGGTTCAACAGTACAGAGTATGTCAGAGGTAGTCCTTCACATTCAGGTGAAAGGATTTTTTCTTAATTTAGCCATATTTGCATTCAGAAACTCATCAACAATAAAACAGATTATTCCTGCTCAAAGGTAACATATAAATAACCTAAAATGGCTTTTCAACTTTATGAAGTTGAAAGGAAAGAGGTAAAGTAGATGGAAGTAAGTGACAAGTAGAGCTGAAGAATGGGAAAATGCTATTTGTTGTAGTTGTTGACAGCTTAAGTCTCTTACCATTCAGAAGTTGCCTGCAAGTATAGGGGAATATAAAAAATATAAAATAAACATTCTTATGTAAGTAAAGGGGAATGCCATGGATGATTTTTAAATAGTAATAATTTCTGTTTTAAGCCTGAGATCCTTTTTAATTTGTTGCTCCATGATTATGTGGTCAACCATTCTTGAAGTTGGGGTAATTCAAGAACATCATTACACTTAGATGTGTTTCCCGTGGCAACACAAATTCTAATAACCAAAGCTGCTTGGAACAAGACAGAGGAAGTCAGGAAACTGTGGACATGGGCAGCTCGTGAGTTCACTCTCAGCTGCAGTGGACCACTGACACTAGGGATGAATGTCCAGCAGAGCAAGGACTTACAGGCTTTTTTTTTTTTTTGAGGTGAGGAGAGGGTTAAAATTTATATTTAGTTCAAATGTTTAAAAATGATAAGCCTTTTAAATGTCTGTGAAGTTGTACTTTAAGGATCACTAAAAGAACATTCAAAAATGCATCCTCACATTCATATCCAGCAGTTTCTAGAAACAGCCTGGTGCCCAGTGCGCAGTAGCAAAGTAGTGAAAGCATTGGGGAACCATCTTCACCTAGCTTTAGAGAATCCAAAGAAAACTACAGGCCTGACCTTTAGGGCAGGACAAGGTTTAGGAGATGAGAAGAAAGAAAGGCTCCTGAAAGGATGAGAAGCAAGCATTGTTTATAGTGAACGTGGTAGGTTATATCTATGATCCTACTACTCTAGTGGCTTAGACAGGAGAATTGCCACAAGTTCGAGAACAGCCTGGCCTAAATAGTGAATTCCAATCCAGCCTGGTCTTCAGAAAAAGACTATATCTCAATCCCTTACATCCCACCAAAAAAAAAAATGTTATATATGCTATAGAAGCAGAATTATAAGAACAGAGATAAAAATAAGCCTACAATGGAAATACCTCTAAGAGGAACGTTAAGAATGTAAAGTATTAAATACAGGTGTATCTGTGAAAAGTGAGTAAGTTTTTAGATAGTGTAAAACCAGTTCCCTACTAAAATGGGTCCTTTTCTTTAAAATGTTGTTCAAGAGAAGAGCCCTGAAATCTTTTCCTATTTTCCTATTCATTGTAACTGCTGGACCCCATCTTAGCCACTATTGAGTAAGCACTAATCATAGACTAAGACGATTGCAGATACACTCGGCCACTTTTATGAATTTGTTGCATATTCCCATGGTACCTTATTTATACAATGATGAAACCAGAAAACCCTCTCCAATCTCATTTATTTTCTTTTTCCTTGAGAAACTCACCGTGGTAGTGTTGATCTGATATGTGGACAAGCAAGGATAGTCACAATAGAAATAAACGTAGTCATGTCTCTAACTCCTAGACAGAAATTTATCACCACTGGTCATCCTCAAAGTCATCATGCTTCAGTCTACAGAAGATTTGGCTAGCAAGATTTTCTGTATTTTGGTGCCCTTGACACCAACTCTCACTTCCGCTTCTAGACCAGGACAATTAATAGAATGGCAGACTTCTACTTCCTGGAGCACTTCTGAGATTTCATCCCCGCTGTTTTGTCTTGGGTCCTAGATCGGTTCCTACTTTGGTAGCGTCTTGACAACAATTGACATTGACAAAGATTCTTATACCGACCTGCTTCTCGTCGGGGCCCCCATGTACATGGGGACAGAGAAAGAGGAACAGGGCAAAGTCTACGTGTATGCTGTGAACCAGGTAAGGGCATCTGAGTTTGGTGAATCCAGAAAAATCCATTCCCTTCAGATCCCACTAATACAGCTAGAATATTTTTTCACTTGCTTGGGGGAAAAATGATCTAAGAAGTTTGCAAGGCCCATTCAATTTCACAGTTTCAAAAGGAACATTTAGAATCCAAGTAAACTACTTTCAGACCTTAAATATGTTTTTCTTGAAAATATGAAATGTGTTTTTTGCTTGTTTTTGTTGTTACTATTAGGTTTTTGTTTCATTCATTTTTTTTTTCTAAACCGGAGTATACAGTATTTTCTAAAAGGCAAATACAAATGCCACTCACCTGGTAAATAATCTTGCTCATAACCTATTCAAGAGCTCTAGTCTGTCCAAGTTGGGGGCATCCACAGTTACCATGGTGATAGACAGATGCAACTGAATAGCAATGGTGTGTCAAGCCCTTCCTGGGAGACAGTATGGGTTTTAGAAACACTTTACCAAGTGAAGGGAGATTCTGATTTCAATTGTAGTTTTAGACATCATTTGTTGGGAGAAGTAATTTTTCCCTTCTCTATTAAAAGGATGTTTGCCATTTACAGACAGGTTAGTGGCTTGTTTTGCTGTTATTGTTTTTTTAATTCTTATTTTTTCCCTGATACTAATTATTTTAAATACCAAATTGCTTTCCTTTCCTTCTATCTTTTTCTTGGCTTTCTCCTGTGTGTTTGGCGGAAAGAACCTATGTGTTCTCCCCTCCTCTTTCTGTCACTCCCTCTTTTTCCAAAAAAGTGTGTTCTTTCTTAGCATTGTCTGTGGTCCCCTCCACTCCAGGCAGCTGTCAAAGGTTTGCTTCTGAGCAGAGTATATTGTGTAATGGGTCTTCAGTGGAGAATAGACAGAGTCTTGGCCAAGAAGCACACTGTCAGAAATGCAGGCCTGGGAGGACCACAATGGAGGATTTCATTTACAGTTCTTTAATAAGTCAAAAACATGTGACTAATTATATCCTTAGCTTCATTAGGAAGGGCCTGTTGGAATTCTCAGCAAGCTTGCCCCCTGAGGCTCCCTTGGCTTCCCTACTTCTTCATATATCTTACAGGCTTGCTGTTGGTATGCTAATGGTTATTTCATAAGGCTGGTTTAGCATGCTCTTAAAAACAAACCTGCTCCTCTGGAGCAGTGTTGGGACCTCTTAAGTATTCTGTTTGTCTTCCCTCCAGACAAGGTTTGAATATCAAATGAGCTTGGAACCAATTAAGCAAACGTGCTGTTCATCTCTGAAGGATAATTCATGCACAAAAGAAAACAAGAATGAGCCCTGTGGGGCCCGATTTGGAACAGCAATTGCTGCTGTAAAAGACCTCAACGTGGATGGATTTAATGACATCGTGATCGGAGCTCCGCTGGAGGATGACCATGCGGGAGCTGTCTACATTTATCATGGCAGTGATAAGACCATAAGGAAGGAGTATGCACAAGTAAGACACAGTTTCCCACAGGCTCTCACCCTTCCATGCCCAGTGGTCTCACCTGCCTTTCTCTACAACTCATAACTTACTTTGTTTCTTTTCTTTATTCTGACTCTCCCGGGAAACTACATAAGAGTGTCTCCTGTGTTCTTTCTTAAGAATTAGCTAGTGTTTTATACCATTATCTAGTTGTTTTTCTGTGATTATTATTGTCTGCCTTCATGGACCTGATCATTTGAAATGGTAAAAAAAATAGAAAACCAGACCACCTGGTAATAATGTTCCTTGACATCTACAACATGTTTAACCCCAAAGCATAAGAGGGCAATAATAATTTGATATAGTCAATATGGGAGATGAGATTGTATTTTTTTATTCAGTGCCCATATTGTTATTAAACAAAGTGACATTAAATTTATAATCATGAATTAATATTATATATTTTAATCAAATTAATGTTGGTTTCTGAGATTTACAATTTTTTTCTCAAGTAATTCTGAGAAAAAAATGTGAGTGATTAATCTTGACTTTCAGGGGATTTCTGTTGTTCTTGTTTAAATTTATTGATAGTTAAGCAGTTTTACATTCATTGACCTAATCTATAAATTTAATTCCTTATTACATGAGAAAAATATTCACTCACATAAATGTTCAATGCATCATAAACACAAGAGAGTTTAGAGAAGTTGTAACGTAATGGGAAGTTTCTATATAATTGTAGTCAACAATGAACTATTATGGATAAATAGCTTATAATTCAACACTTACATCGACACTCTCTAGCATCTAAGCCATGAAGAGAATCCAGACATTAGCTATTTCTTTTTACATTTCAGTGGTCTCTTTTATTTCAGTAGTTAACAGAAATCTCAAAACCTACTCATGTAATATTTTGTTAACTTTTTATAAAGTTATAATGACATTACTGGTGACCAAAATAAAAGGCTCATATAAGTAACAATGCTCCTGTCCATTTGACAAATTATTTGTTTCTCTTAAAAATCTTTGCGGGAGTATATACTCAACTAGTGGCAGGCATTGGGGCATTAACCAGTGGGGCATTGGGGAACCAGGAAATACACACAAAGAGGTTTCTAGTATTTTGTTGCTTTGTTCTTTCAGGATGAATCTTGAATAGCATTTGGAGCAAAGAAAGATTTTTAATTGTTTAATGGAATAAATTGTCATATGTAATGCCTTTTTTAAAGTAGTGGTAAATCAACATGCAGCTTTAAACAAAATTAACAAAACAGTATTTGAGTTCAATTGTTTTTTTTAGTGGAAAGTGCTTTCCCAGGGAACAGATGATGATGTACTTACCCATTTCCAGGAACACAGCATGACCCAGAGTCAAGCAGTATCAGCTCCTTCAGAGCTAATGAGGCACATATCTCCTGATTGGTGTGCCTAAAAATTATGGGAATATTTGTCAAGGGGACATATGGTATTTCCACATCACCTTTTCCAGTTTGACTTCTTCCTTTTTGTTACTTAAAAGGAATCAAGAAGGAAAAGAATATCCAAAGTTTAGGAAGGGTCTGTTAGTCCTGTCTCCTTGCTAACAGGTTCTATTAAAATAGTATCTGCTTGGACAAACACTAAGCTATGGAGCACAGGAAGATCACTTTCTGTGTAAGGTGAGGTGCATAGGTACATGGATGAGGCTTCAAGAACCCCATATTTGCAGTGCCCTCCTCACATTAGGGGTGGAGGTGAGTGGAGATGGGTGTTTTAGGACATTTTTTTAATTGTCCTGTGCAGTCATCTGTTTTTCCTCTTGCCTATGTGATGTGTCCTCAAAGTTTCTAGTACCTTTGAATATATCTGTTTATTAGAATTGAAAAAGAAGTCAAATAAAGCCTATTGCTCAGATACCTCTTGAGCATTAGACAAAAATGACATTATATATCAATTTCCCCTCTCTCTAAGTCACTAACCCTGACCTGACAGTCTGTACCATAGGAAGAATGATTTCCTTTGGGGATATCTCAGGATTTCCTCTTGCTTCTCCTCAGAGCCCTCTCAGTGCCCAAAAGATCATTACTTTTAGCTTTATTCACTAATCCAAACTCACAGATTTATTCAAAACTACTTTAAATGGACTCTTCTGACATTAACCTGTCTGTTGGGATTTTCACAGCGTATTCCATCAGGTGGGGATGGCAAGACACTGAAATTTTTTGGCCAGTCTATCCATGGAGAGATGGATTTAAATGGTGATGGTCTGACTGATGTGACCATTGGAGGTCTTGGTGGAGCTGCCCTCTTCTGGTATGTATGTTATAACATTTGGATATACATTTGGCAGAACTTCCCATATGATTCCAGACCACATAGTATGATTAGAACTCTTGCCATATCAAGTGTCTATTTCCTGTCATGCTGTGCTGGCAAGATGCAAGTTATTCAATGGATTAATGCATCCGAGAATCTTAAGAACAAGGAAGCTGAATAGGAGTAGGTAGAATGAACTCTTAATTTGGTTCTCAATTATGCACTTGACACTAAAACAAATGTTCTCTTCTGGGGAAAGTTGTGTGGGTAGTGTCTTTAGAAGATATGTGTAAGTAAGATAATATTCCTCACTCTGAATTGTTCAAGTTTTTAGAGATAACTGATTTTGTTAGTTTACCTGAATCACAGAAATGGATGAAGACCCTTTCCTGGCCAGGCTTCATTGCCAGCAGAACAAAATAGACTCAGATAGTGCATCATAAGGACCAAGATTTTGCCATGCAGGGGGCGGGGCTGCGACAGGATACAGAAGGCAGGTGACTGAGCAGATGCTGTCAATGAGCAGATAGCAAGAGCCCAGTTATGCGGACCACACACCCATGCTTCCATAAAGATACAGTTGGGAAAGAAAGGATGAGATGGGTAGACATTAGTCAAGCCTGTCTGGAGAATCCATATCACCCAAAAAGAAACCAGACATGCCCATTCATTGCTGGCGAGAAGTAAACTAATTAAAACTCACCAAGTGTTTGTCAATAAGCATTTCAAAAATCTTAAGATAGCCTTGCTTATTAAAGTAATTTGTTTCCTAAAACAATTTTAAAGTATGGTGTAGAAATAAGTATTCCTTAAAATGTGTGATCTTTAGAACCAGCAGCGAACTATATGCAATAACCACTTCCTAATATGACAAGATGGGCTAGGGAGACGGCTCCACCAGGAAAGCCTCCCACACAAGCATGAGGGCCTGAGTTTGGATTCCTACCACTGTCGCTGAAAGAAGCAACTCTTATCTTACAGGAATGAATGGCATGATTTATTCTTAAGCAAATATGAATGACCGTATCGGTGTCTTGGGAACATATATTCAAGTCATTTAAGTCTCCCCTGATATAATGTTCCTGTGTGGAAACAGTTTTGTGGCATTTTACAGTAACAGAATAAAGAAATTCATAAATGGGGGCCATTTTCAAATGTTTGGTAGATACATCGGAGTGACCGGAACAGAAAACTGGGGAGATCTTATCCATATTTCTCAGATGTTATCTGACGACATTCCTAGCCTTTGTGTTAGTTTGAAGCTAGTGATCTGCTAAGCTGATAGATCCCAAAGGGGTTTTGTCTGTTAGTTACAGGGTGTGAGTTCTGACACAGAGTTGGACGAGGAATCGAGGGGGTTAAAACTAGGCCAAGATAAGATAATTTGGCTTCTGACCTGTACCATGGCAGCTTTTCCAAACCACCACAGTTCTCATCAGACAGTTGCAGGCACATCTTCTTTCCAGGAATTCTTGTTCACACCACCCACATAAAAAGGCATGACAACACATGGAACCCTGGTACAGGAGGGGTGGGCAAACAAGAATCTCCCAGGGCTGCGGGCCAAGACACTTAGCTGCATCAGTGAGCTCTCTGTTCAGAGAAAGACTGTTTTCAAACAAAGAAAGTTTGAGGTTGGTAGAGGAAGAAACCTAACATGAACCTCTGTTCTCCACATGTACATATAGGCACACAAGGAAAGAAAAAAAAAAGAAAACACAGAAAAGAAAGCTAAAAATCTAATGAAAGACAGATAAATACAACATGATATATGTCTTTGCTGGTATAGGTCACTTAATTAAAATGCAATTAAAATGTAAAGGTGGATACTCTCGACTGGGGATGGAGATGGTTCACAGCCCAGGCATACAATGGAAAAAATATAGATTTTATCATGCTACTTGGAACAGTGTCTAATTTAAAACATGATTATTTCCTTCCTGGAGTTTTCTGTTTAATATTTTTGCACCCAGGCTACCTATCCATGGATAACTGAAACTGTGGGAAGCAAAGCCATGGTTAAGGACTGGGCACTGCAGCATTTCTGATGATTAAAGCTAACTTGGGAGTTACATGAAACAGCATACACTCACAGTGTCCCAAACATACTTCTTCTTCCAAGAAACAACAACAAGGCTACCTGTTCAAGAACAGAGAAGTGTTATAGTTTTGATGAAAGCCAGCGGAAGGCAGCTAGTTTTCTATGTGCCTTTGAATCATTTCTAAATTGGAAACAAACTCAGAGAGATCCCCAAATACCATTTTGATTCTGAGCTTGCATCTGGCTAGTTGGTTCCATTTTGTCTTCTGTCTTTGAACAAAATGTCTAAGAAGGTTATAAACAACGAAGGTCTCCTAGGACACGAGATACAATCTTTTATGTATCAAATAACCATTAAAGAGCAATAGTCCTAAAAGCACATACAGTCCACAGAGGAGAGTGTCCTTTGAAGCACCCACATTACCCTCCCCAGTTAAATGCAACAATGTGTGCGTAATCCCATTGTTCATGTGTTTGCAGGGCCAGAGATGTGGCCGTAGTTAAAGTGACCATGAATTTTGAACCCAATAAAGTGAATATTCAAAAGAAAAACTGCCGTGTGGAGGGAAAAGAAACAGTATGCATAAATGCTACAATATGTTTTCATGTGAAATTAAAGTCTAAAGAAGACTCCGTTTACGAAGCTGGTAAGCATCATGATGGTAGCAAGTACTTTCGGGCAGAGGAAAGTGTATGGGCTCCAGGATGATGACCTCTCCCAAGCATAATTAACTGCTCAAAACATTTGCCCACTGGGAGCCTGTTGACCCCTGAAACCACTCCTGCTGTAGGAGAAACAATTATGGAACCTAGTAAATTCTACAGCAGAAATTACATGTTTGAATGCAATGACCTCAAAATTCCATATTTACCTATGCCTCCCCATATAATTATATTATATACACTCTCACCGGGAGCATTTAAAAAGATCTATGAAAGATTTTTTGAAAAAGAATCCTCTCCCTTCTCCTGCCCCCTCCTGGGGGAGACTGGTATTGCAGATGATCTGACTACTTCACACCCAGCCCAAGGCTGTTTTCCCACTGAGATGAGGCTCATGTGTTCAGCCAGCTGACCCTCGGGTGTGTAGAGTCAATCTGTGTGTCTCCTCAGCTTTATGCTCTGAACATTCTAAGGCAGTCTTCAATGATATTGAAATATGTTGAGATCAAATCTATGAGGGCTTATTTTGTGGAATTTTATGTTTTGAATATCATCTAAGTTGGCACATTTCTACAAAAAGGTAAAAATGGTCTTTGTTTATTTTTGTCTTTGCCAATATTCCTAAGCTCTAAAAAATTATTTTGAACAAAAATTTAGTAAATTCAGACTTGGTTGATAAATCATAGTTCACATATATGTTTATATGAGGGGGTGTGTGCATACATGCATTACACATAATTATAATTTAAATGTTAAGCACATGGTCAAGTCACAGAGCCAGTTTGTAGACTTTCAAGGTTATGTCCATGACTGCTCCTGTCTTTGTGTTGTAGCAATGCAGATATTCTCAGTGTAGGACCATTTATTGATTCATTTGCTCAAAAGATTTTTTCTATAATGCTAATTGGAGTGGGGTCATGTGAGAGTCATCCCCAGATAAACGTGCCTGTCAAATGTTCCTTCATGTGTTTGTAGATTTGCAGTATCGTGTCACCCTCGATTCACTGAGACAGATATCACGGAGTTTTTTCTCTGGAACTCAGGAAAGAAAGGTTCAAAGAAACATCACAGTTCGAGAATCAGAATGCACTAGGCACTCCTTCTACATGTTGGCAAGTAAAGCGTGCATTACAGCTGCCTTCTTCCAGATTGAGAGGATCGTGTGTGTGTGTGTGTGTGTGTGTGTGTGTGTGTGTGTGTGTGTGTAGTTGTCCCTCCTCTTTAGTTATTCAGAACTGAGAACCAACAAGTTAGAACTTGTATGAAATTAGATCAGCAATTGCTATCTGGCAGTGACTGCAGCCATAGGTACAAGGTCAGAGGATGAGCTCTGTTCAAGGACCCATACTAAAAGCAATGAACTAACTTCAAGCATTATAAAATCCCTTTGAATTGTGTCAGCTATTTTAATATTTGCTCTGGAGCTGAACGGGATATGGTTTCTATCCCAGCCGTTTATGTTCTGAATGACTGTGGGCAAGTTATTTAGTCTCAGAGGCTCTGCATAAAATAAAAATCATCAGGCTGGGTGGTGGTGGCATACACCTTTAATCCCAGCACTCAGGAGGCAGAGCAGGTGAATCTCCGTGAGTTCAAGGCTAGCCTGGTCTACACAATGAGTTCCAGAACAGCTAGGACTGTTACACCTTGTCTTGAAAAATCCAAAAAAATAAGTAAAAATCATTATGGCTACCCACCTCAGAGGTCTACTGAGACAGTTCACAACGATGTGTATAAAGATCATTGGTTTTGACACCAAAAATAATGATTCTTACTGAAATGGAAAACATTAATCCCATTTACATCATTTTCATATCAGTATACAGTGCAAAATTCCATAGGTTTAGATGTCTATAGGTGCACTACAGCTGCATTGGAAGAGTCTGCCTTCTTAAAGTGAGGGAGACACTTTCCCAGAAGCGGCTACTGGCATGGATCTCAAGAGTAACCATGTTTTTACTGTGCAGCTCAGTGTGGTATATCCATGACTCCGGCAAGTCCTTCTGTGGAGCTCTGAGGGCGTTACCTGTCATTCTGGAGCTACCCCTTTCCAGCCACGACCCTTGTCAAACAGAAAAGCTACCCTACTTCAGCGAAGCCAAGGCCTCCTGAAGTGTGATGTCAGAGTAGGTGAGCAGGAATGTTCCAGTAAACCACAGGGCAGAAGGATGCTGCAACAGAGTCCTAACATCCAGCAACTATGGCACCAGTGACAAATACTTATGTTTCAACTTGTAGGACAAGCATGACTTCCAGGACTCCGTGAGAGTGACTTTGGATTTTAATCTTACGGATCCAGAAAATGGGCCTGTGCTTGATGACGCCCTGCCAAACTCGGTCCACGAACATGTAAGATTAATTTATGATGTCTCTTTGTGAATGTACTAGAAAAGCTAAAAACACATCGACACATAATTTAAATCAGTTGTGTGAGGGAGGAGGAGAGAGACAGAGAGAGAGAATTGGGCAATTCTAGACTTCTCCCATTCCCTAGAATTTCCTCTTGCTGGGCTTTAAGAGAACTATAAATAAACAATTGAAAATGGCATTTGTCTTAATAAGCACTAGGTGATGAGACACAGTTTCGGGATAATGAGACACTCAAACTGGCCCTCATACTCGGACCACAGCTAACTGTTAGTCAGCAGTGTAGATTCATCTCTGGCCTTCCTGGTGGAGGCCTGTGGTGTAAAAGCTTGAGACTTAGTCACTGTTCTATTGCTATGAAGTGACGTCATGACCAAGACAACTCTTAGAAAAGAAAACATTCAACCGGGGGCTTGCTTACAGTGTTCGAGGGAGGGTTAGACCATGATCATCATGGCGAGAAACAGACAGGCATGGCACCGGAGCATTTTCAATCCGGATCTGCAGGAAGCAGGCAGAGAGAGACAGAGACAGCCAGACACAGACACAGAGACTGGGCTTGGCTTGGGCTTTTGAAACCTCAAAGCCCACCTCCAATGACAAACCTCTTCTACCAAGGCCACACCCACTCCACCAAGGCCACACCCACTCCACCAAGGCCACACCTCCTGATCTAGCTCAAACAGTTCCACCAACTGAGGAGCAAATTTTCAAATATGGGAGCCCACGGAAGCCACTTTCACGCGAACCACCACAGCTGCGGCATAGGAGCAGAGCAGCACATGGGCCTCCTGTGGGCACCACGCTGCCCCAAGAACAGAAGAGATGGGGAGGGGCTAAGCTGTGCCACCTCCGTTCCATTCCCAAAGTTCACTGACACACATCCAAGAGTGACTGAGGGAGGGGACAGAGAGGGAACGAGTATCACAGGAACGGCCGCAAGGGAGAAAAGCTCTAGAGAGAGGAAATTCATTTTTCTCATTCATCCACCTTCCAATCTCCCCCGCCAACCTCCCAGATGTGTCCATCATCCTACATGCCCCAAACATGGAGCTCAGTCTCACCTGGGAATTGGGCTGTCGGCAGTAATTAAATGCCGTGCTGTGAAGAATTTCAGATTTTGCAACAATTCCTACCTCGTCTGGGGGAGTCAGAGAAGGCCCCCCCGTAGTTGTGGCTTGTAAGTCGAGCCCTGAAAGAGTGGGTGATTTTCCACCCTGTTTGCAATGTGGATGGATGATAGTATGTGTGAAGATGCTGAGCCATGGCAGGAGCTTAAGATACTCACTATTGTAGCTGAAACCAAAGCACCCAGGTGAAGGTGATAACAGCATATGCCTGGACTCACACAGGCCAGCGTGAGATCTTCTGGGGTTTGGTGTGACTACCCAGATTATAGACATTTTAAAGGACAGTGCAGTGCCGTTGACTGTTTTAATTTAGCTCCGTGGGTACCAGATGAGTGCTGTTTAAAATTGCAACTGCCACAACATGTTAAGTGACTGAAGGGAAACAAATGGGTACTGAGTAGCCGTGGAAGGGCTGCTTTATCAGGAGGAGAAGATGGAGAGGTGACAGGGGACTTGGAAGTTACGGAGAGGAGGCTGGGAAGGACATGTGTGATGATAGACTGGATAAGAGGACAGCGGACTTTAAAAAGAAGAATCAAGTTTCCAGCTACATGGCTGGACCATTTTGCTGCCTCTTGACAGGGTTCCTCAATATCTCATTCCTTTTGTAGGAAAACATATAAATGAGGCTGTGTTGATTTAGACCTTAGAGTTCTTGACTTAAGGTTTGGGAACTGTCTTTCATTGGGAGACAGATACTAGTAAGATACCAATGAAATCTACCTCCTTTAAAGGACTGGGAAATTAAGACTAGAAGTCGACATTGATTCTTTCTCCCATAAAGTCAGCAGTAAATGTAAAATCTCTTAAGATCTCAGCAGAGCAGTCAATTTCTTTGTTCAGCTCTCTCTTACTTGGGTCCCATGCCATTTCTGTTGCACAAACTAATAGGCGGCTTTCAGTGATGTTTAAACTACACCATGAAAACTATGTTCCTGTGGCCGTTTCAGATTCCCTTTGCCAAAGACTGTGGAAACAAGGAAAAATGCATCTCCGACCTCACCCTGGACGTGTCCACCACAGAAAGGAGCCTGCTGATTGTCAGGTCCCAGAATGACAAGTTCAATCTCAGCCTCACAGTGAGAAACAAGAGAGACAGCGCCTACAATACCAGGACAATAGTGCAGTATTCCCCAAATCTGATTTTTTCAGGAATTGAGGTAAACTCATTGTTTTCCATTAATCCTCTAAATGATTATTGAACCTACTTTTCATGCTACTGAGCTAATTAATTTCATAACATTGATTTGAGAAGAGTAGAAGACATTTTTGTTAAGTATTAGAATACACTAATTGCCATAGGTGCAAGCTTTTAAGGTATTTAAAATCTTTTGTTATTTTATTTTATGTATATGGGTATTTTGCCTATACGTATGTCTGCCTGGTGCCTGCTACCACAGAGGCCAAAAGAGGACATTGGATCCATGAACTGTAGTAACAGACTATTGTGAGCTGCCCTTGGGTGCTTGGAATCAAACTTGAGTCTTCTGGAAGAGCAACCTAGAGCAAGTAGTGCTCTTAACCACTGGGCCATCTCTCTGTCTTTCATCCCAACCAAGCTTTTGTATATTTATTTGGAGAGACATATCTCTTCTTATTTCATATTTTAAGTATTTAAGAAAGGCAGCTCACGATTAAAAATTTCTATGTTTCATAGAGTCATCAAGCCACTGAAATTGAAATTCAGCCAAGTAAAATAAATAATAATCAAAGATACAGGGAGAAGTTTAGGTGCTGAAAGAAGTTTCCATTGAAAAAAAATCAAGATACTGTTTCTTCCTGTGAAAAAAAATGAGCCAAAGATTTCCTACTTTAGCCAAAGATTTCTGTTAGACGACAAGTCTCACTTATTTATAATTTTATAATGAAAGGGTTCATCCTGGCAATAGCCTATCTGTGTATCAGACATTTTATTAACTTGACAATAATCCCCTGCACAGGATACTGGGTCATTTGTCAGTATTTACAAATTTGAACTTAGCTTTTGATTCGGATTCCCAAGTGAATCCCCCATGTTAAAAAATCTGTATGTATTTGCATGAATAAATTTAAGGTATTTTGATTCACATTAAAATGAATAATGCTAATGTGAATATTTCATTTATATTAAAAACCAATACCTTTAGGTCTAGGAATGTAGTTAGATAATGGAGAACTTGCTTAGCATACATGAAACCCTGGGTTAAATCCCCAGCATTATGATATGCACACATATTAATGCATAGTATTAAAAACTGTTGTCTAGTTCCCACAAATTTAAATTGCTATTGTCATTTCACTCTGTTTGTTCTGATATCATGTGGGGATATGGTAACTAAGATAGGCTCATATATGGATCATTTGTTATTATAACATTTTGTTTTCAGAATTTTAATTATGAATATGAAATAATTGTAGAAATGCAGCACATAAGTGTAACGTGGAGAAACATTTATTGTCACTGGGCTGTGTCTGGAAAGGGAACTATGTTAAAAGGCATTGCCTGTATCCACTCCAGCTGGCCACAGCGGACAGGCAGAAATACCCATAGTGCACAGCTCTGGACATGACAGAGAGCAGCAAGAATACCCATAGTGCACGGCTGTTAATTTAAGGAGGTCCTTGACCTTGTATTACAGCTACTCTTTCTTTAGTTGTGTTATATGCTGGGTGGAGTAAGGAGTTGAGTCCTGGTGGTTGCAAGTTGGAGCCTTGTTCTTGCTCAGGACTCCAAACTCCTGCACCTGTGGGATGCTCTAACGGTGCACATGTGTGACCTAGGCACCTGCCACTGCAGTTTACTGTCCATTGGTGCTGTTGGTGCTCCGCTACCCCTGACCACTCCTGCCAGAGAAAGGTGTGCTTTGTCCCTCAGGAGCCCTCAAGTGATGGTTTCAGATCTCCGTGAGCTGTGGAACTGGCAGTCCTCTCGTGCTGTGACTCTCCCAGCTAAACCGAGAGACAAATCTCTGCAAGGCAGCTGCTAATGCATAGCTGGGAAAATTCTCAAATGATTAATTAATATATTTCACTTGTGTTTCTTCTCTAATTCCATTTCTTTTCCATTTTAGGGGATCCAAAAAGATAGTTGTGAATCCAATCGAAATATCACATGTAGAGTTGGATATCCTTTCCTGAGGACAGGAGAAATGGTAAGGAGGCTGGGTAAAATATTAGTAGCCATTGCCGGGGGAAGTAATATGCTCAATGACAAATGTGTAAATCCTTCTAATGAGGAATTTCTGACAATATAGGCTAGGAACATTGAGTGCAAAATGCTTGCAGCCTAATATCTGCTAGGGTATGATTTTCACGTCTCTGTAAAATTGGTACACTGCAATTTGATCCCCAATGTGACAGCATTAGGATGTGGTGCCCTTGGGACTTGTGGCTTCACAAAAGAGGCTCAAGAGACTTGTTTGTCCCATCTGCCACACGAGGCACAGTGTCTCCACAACAGGCCACCATTGCACTCCAGTCTTGCTGCTTTCGTCCTGGAGTTCCCAGACTCTAGAGCTCTGAGTAGGAAACCTCCAGTGTTTATGAATTACATAAGTTTATAGTCTAAGTTATATCGCTATAGAAGTTCAGGAAGACTAAGACATAATCAAAAGTGTTTCACAAGTCACATTCAAACACAAAGGCCTAATCTATAGTAGATAAACAGATGTACCACTTTACATTCCTGCCAGCGGTGAATGAGAGCTCTAATTTCTCCACATTATATCATTATTATTATTATCGTCCTGGTGGATGTGAAGCAATGTTTTACTGGAACTTGGATTTGCATTTCCCTAGCAACAAATGGTGACATTTTTAGTAACTTTTCACACACACCCACATACCACACACGCACACACACACACACACACACACATACACACACACACACACACGTACACATGCACACACCCACTGTCTTTGGAGAACTATCTGCTACAATACATTTTTATTGAAACAGGGTCTCACTTTGAAGCCCAGGCTAGCCCTAAACTTATGTTGTAGCCCAGGATGTTGTGAACTCTCAGCAATCCTCCTGCCTCTGCCTCCTAAGCCACCATGTCCCATTTTGTACCTGTTTTTAAATTAGGCTGTCTTTTGTACTATTAAATTGTAAGAGTTCTTTAAATAGTCTACATTCAAGCCTCCTACAAGATACGTGATTTGAAATTTTTAGGGTTTTTTTTTTCAAGAATTTTATGATTTTTTTGCTTACGCTTAGGTCTGTGATCCATGTGAAAGAACTCCTAGGTTATGTGTATTGAAAGAGCCCAACTTACACATTTTGCATGTGAATACCCAGTTACCCTGCACCATTTAAGGAAGGCATTGAACTCAAATATTTCTTTCTTTATCCTGCAGTCCCTTGTGCTTGTGTTAAAAGCTTATACCAAAATATCTCTTAGGTTATACAAAGGGTGATGGGAGAAATTTGCAAGCAATTCCAACTTGGGTTTCACACTTAAAATATTCTTGGGCTCAAGATATAGACTTTCAGTTCAAGTATTTCAGGTTCATGTGAATATACAGTAAACATCTTCCTCAGACCTGCTCCTCTGCCAGCACCTTCCTGTAGATAAAAAGGCCATGGAGAACACCAAGACTCAAGTGGCCAGGCTAGTTGTGGAGATTAAGGAGAGACAGGGAAGATGCAGCCAACAAATGTCCCTTTACTAGAATGGAGATCAGTACCCCAAGGCAAGAGAAAAACCATCTTTCTTAAAAGAACTTGTTTTCTTCTTTTTAAATGTAAATTAAGATTATATATGGGAGGGAAGAAAATTCCATACATACATTGATACAGCCATGCTAATCTCATGGCACCACTCCTTCTGTGAATGGTGCCAATTGTTCACAAGCTGTAAATGTCACAACTTTTCCATGTAATATTTATCATAAAGATAGAATTATAAGTGGTTTCCATTAGTTAGGTATTTCTGGAATGTTTTTCTGGCCTGAATTTTAAATGCTTCAATTAGCACCAAATGAGATTAGTTCTGAGATTGAGATATATAATTCATAAGCATTATGATGAGATCATTGGGCAAGGCCATGCAGGTGATCTTTGTTTTAAATAACTTACATTTTAGTGTGACTGTTGGTGTTCACACACAGCCCTGTGTACAGGCAGAGCTTCTCAAAAGAGAGCTGTCTGTATATGATATTTGTACAGCAGAACACTCTCTGTGTTTTCTTCAGTAGTGTTTTAAGTATGTAAACTCTTACAAAACAATGTTTTTTTCACAATACTTTATTCTAAGAGCTAAGCCATTTTGGATGATCTTCTTGAATTACTCAACAGTGATCAAAAAAATTACACTACCAAATTAACAAATCAAATATGTTTTCCCTGTTTTATAATGGTGGCTAGCATGTGTATTAAAGAGACTTTAATTATTAACATGCCACAATTATGTTCATTACTGTTATCTGGCAAATTATGGTAATAAATAAGTAGAATAATTCTTCTTGATTTGTGGTTTGCATAAATGCTTTTTGTTACTATGTCTTGAATATGGTATTAAATTCAGTGTTATCATGTGCATTCAGACTGCTATAAAAAATAGCAGGAATCGAGTAGTACATGAATGAGAAATCTATTTCTCATAAATATGGAAACTGAAAAGTCCAAGATCAAGACAATGTTAAGCCCATTGTCCAAAGAGGATATTTTGATTCAAAGATGTCTTCTCCCTGTGTCCTCAGGGAGTGAAAAGGAAAGGCATCTTCTGGTACCTTGATCATAAGGGCATTAATTCCACTCATGCGGATGCCCATGAACTGTTACATGCCAAAAGGACCCACCCCTTAGTATCATAACAATGATAACTAAGCTTGAACATATAAACTTTAAATGGAATAAAGCATTCAGATTATAGCAACATGCAAAGCATATTACATATTCACATTTAGAAGTGCATGAATGAGTGTATTGCATCTTTTTGTATGTATTTATGATGGGATTGTATTTTGTAAGACAATATTTCTTAAGTAATTTTATAATTTTTGTTTAGGTAATGAATTTATATAAACTATATTTTTTCAAAGTTGATGTTTTTCCTCATCTGTTATTTAAGATGTCTATTTTAATTTCATAGGTAACCTTCAAAATAATATTCCAGTTTAATACATCGCATCTCACAGAAAATGCAATCATTCATTTAAGTGCAACAAGGTTGGTTTATGTGTGTGTGGATATACATGTATGTGTGCATATCATTCATATCATTACTTTCATGTAATTTGATTATTTTACTTTGTAGAATCATTGGCAGCTTCTTGAAGCTTGCCTAAGATCAGCAGATGTAACAGTCCATGAACCACTTTGCCTCACAAAAATACCTTGGGAGTAATTAGCAAGAGTAGAGGAATTCATACTTGAAGCAAATAATTTAATCTATTGGATTAAATCATTGTTAATATTAACTGTAGACCATCTTGTAATTACACATCACTTATATCTGCCAAATTCCATTTAGGATCGACAGGATCTACTAATTTTAAAACATTTACTAGCTGTCTATCAAGGTCAATTGAGTCATCACATGGACTTAAGACTTAATGATACCCTTCCATACTTCAATAAGCTGTATGCAAAACATTCAAAACTTCTCAACATTATCATAAAACACATGCAAAAACCTAGAGCTTTCTAAATCAACATGAGCAAAGCTCCTATGAACTCCTAGAGAGTGAGGCAGCCTGCACAGGGGCTGCAGGGTTCTGTACCATGCCCTCGGTGCATACATTATGGCTTCCAGTTTAGTGTTTTTATGGGATTCCTAAGGGTGCAAATGAGTGGGTCTCTGATTCTTGTGCCTTCTCTTGGGTTTTTCCTTCTGTTTATTTCTTTTGTCCAACTGCAATGCGCTAATTTTTATTTTACCTTTTATTTTATTTTATTATTATCCCTTAGAAAGCTTTGTTTTATAATGAGAGACAGATAGGGATCCAGACATGAAGGGAGATGAGGAAGAACTAGGAGTCAGGGAGAAGAAACCATAACAAGGATATATTATGTGAGGGGAAAAAATCTGTTTATAAATAGGAAATGAGGAAAAAAATAAATTAAAAAAAAAGAAAAGTAGGTATCACCTTGAATGAAGAATTTATAGGTTTTTTTTTTTTGGTAAGTTTAATTCATCCTGGTTAAAAATCAAATATACTATTTGTATTTTCTTTAAAGAAAAAAATGACAAAAGATTAATACAGAACTTGAAGTAAGTTTTTAACTTTCTGCTGAGTGTGTTTTTCTACCAGAACATGTCCTGTGAGTTCAAGTGACATGGCTTGTAGTAACCAGCATGGCCCCTGCATATAGTCATTATTATAGAGGTGGAAAATGAATTAACAAGTAATAAAACAAATTAATGGATAAATTAATTCAGTCTATTCAATTCAGTTTAGCTCAGCATCTATTTATTTGACATCTATTGTAGAAAATTTAGTGATAAATTATTCATTTTGTAGATGAAAAACCAAGACAGAAAGAGATTAAATAACAATATTAAAGTACTAGTGTTCAAGAACAACCTCATTCCCTTTATCTGGTCATAAAGTTGTGTCTCTCCTCCATGCTTTGTTCCTGAGTATGAGGTATATTTGTATATACTGTATATGTGTGTAAAAATATAATTAAATTTTTAAATATTATGAAAATTATATCCCAAATCAAGGAAACACATAAAAATTTAAATAACATGCATACTGAGTACTCTGTTTGGAAACACTATGAAATGCAAAATCAGATTTTAGATTCATAATTATGAGATTATGAATATGATCATGTATGAGACTAGTTGAGTCTCTGTACATGGTCCTTGTGTGTGATAAATATAAACTGAGGTGATTTGTATCCATATCTTTATGCATAGAAGTCCAGCAATCTCAACATTTTAATGATTGAGGAAGCAGATTCTAATTATTTCACATGATTTAGATAAACAAGGACCTGAATCAGTGTGGTTTTCAATTCTAACTCTACAGTGTAATCTATTTGGGAGCACTAATAATACCTATCTCTACACTTCCTTCTCCCCTCAATAAAGACAAACAGAGAATTCTATGATTTTTGTGTTTTATTAATTTTTCTATATAATCTTTTCTTTCAAATATTTAGAGATGGTCTGTGGATAAGCAAATTTAATGCCTAGTGTGAATGTGCTGTGTTTTCCAGTGACAGTGAAGAACCACCCGAATCTCTTTATGATAATGAAGTAAATATTTCCATCCCAGTAAAATATGAAGTTGGACTACAGTTTCACAGGTAGGATGAAGCCACCTTTCTTCATTGACAGCTTTCTGATCACCAAATGGTTTTCCTAGTGTGGCCCTTGACTGAGAGAATCACCATTTAAGAAATTAAATTAGTAGGTACTTCAGTGCCACGCCAGACCTACTGAGTACAAAAATTCTGGTATGATGCCCGGCATCCATATTAAATGTCTTCCATATAATCCATATGCACCTGAAAATTTGAGAATCTGTATGCACTAAATACCAACATAAAATGAGCTAATGACATGTCTTTGCTCCTAAATGTAAGCCAAAGTCCTTGAGGAAATGCAGTGTTTTCTGACAGGTCGGCAGGATATTCCTGGGTCACTGTTTTCATCCTGTAACATGGGATCCACTGCCCATTCTGTCATGCATTTCTCATTGATCAGCCATTTATTTCTTCCACTATTTGGAAACCTTTCTATTCAGACCTTATTTTCTCTTCAGGTGCCAATCATGTTAGTAGACTTTCATTCTACAGAGTCCCTTGCTTATGAATTCCATTACTGAAGCAGAATTCCAAGCTTTTTAAAATAAATATGTGCAATGCCTATAAAAATACGAGAGCCAGTTTCAAGGCCAGCTAAGTCTAACACCCTTCTGTTTTGTTTGTTTCTTGTGGCACTTTCTCTTTGCTAAAGAGAGATCAGAAAGCAAGGGTTATGAGGTAGGCATAGACATGCTTATCTTCCTTAGCCGTTGAAGTTGTTGCCTTTTGTCTGATTTGCTGTGTCCACTTCTTTCAGCACAAAGATTCCCCCAATAACTTTCCACTTAATTCAAATAGATTTTTGGCACACATTTATACATCCCTTTTATTTGTCTTTTCTTGGCTGAAATGCTGCTTCGAGGGGAGATCTTATGTTCTATGAGGGTCATCCAAAGACCAGGACCTTCGTAGGGAGATTGAGCTTTACCATCTAGCAGTAATGGGACTTTTAAATTGTATAAATGTAAATGTAAATGTTTTTTAAAAACTAACTTTTTTCACTTTCAGCATGACTAAATATATCAAATTTTAGTCTGGTTTTTCTCTAAGTGTAAATGCTAGTAGATTCATGGAAATTCTTCTCCTGTTAACAATGGAATTCTGTTTTGAAGGTTACATATAATTTAACTTATTGGGGTCAAGTAGCAACAATGCCTATTGAGTAAAGTAATTCTTAGCATCTGCAAATATTTAATTGAGGTTTGGGGATAAAATGATTTCTCTATTTTGAACTCTGCAAATATTTTCATGGAATCATATGACAGAGAAAGAAAAGAATAAAGTCTAATAAACTTAAACTTAATTGCATTTTATTTTCATTTTTCCAATTAATTCTTTTAAGTTCTGCAAGTGAACATCACATCTCAGTTGCAGCCAATGAGACTATCCCTGAACTTATCAATTCTACTGGTGATATTGGAAATGAAATTAATGTCTTCTACATGGTAAGAAACTATCTCTAAGTCAATATTCTAAATAAGTTATTTGTATAAAAAACAAGGAAGTGTTTCAACATTTAATCTCCACATCCTAGAATAGTTTTCTTTGTAATTTAACTGTGTTAGAATATATTGTCCAAATTGATAATTAAATCACTTCTTGGCCTTTTGGCTAAGATGAAGTGCAAACTGGTAATAATACCTTGAGTCAGTTTTAAAAGCCAAACTCTCTAATTTCCTTATAGTAAGACATAGTAACTTAAAATAACTTCCTAGAAGAAAAAAATCACTCTGGTGTCAAGTAGCTACTACAAATGCAAGGTGTACATACTTTATATTAGTTTTAGTATGGCTAAGAAAATCATGTTTCACAGAATCATGACAATTTCAGAAATGAATTATTTCAAAATTCTTTGGGGAATATTCCCCTTTATTCAGTGTGTCATGGTCTCTGTTCTATATGTTGCTCTCTTTCATGTAAATTATACTGTAAATTACCAATGTTCACACTGCAAACTTCTTAAATGATATGTTCTACTACATTATTTTTTTTTATTTTAAATTCTTTGTTGCAAACTTTGCATGAGCGCTACAGAAGACTGTCATGGAGCTCTAGCCTGGGTGACACTCACAGACTCAGTGTTACTCAAGGAGAAAAAAGCATTCAATTCAAATGAATGATATATGTACATATGCTGTCAAGTGATACAACGCCATTAAAAATGAAGCCAGTCTGAATCTTTTGGGGAACTGTCAGCAATGAAGAATGAAGTTCTCTGACAAAATGGAAATAATTTTCCCATATTCTCAAGAGGAATAAGTTCCTCTTGAGAGGAATTTGTGTTCTCTGCTAAAATTACAATGATAAACTGCATTTTGGAAATTGGTATGAATGCAATCTTCTGCTCAGTTCTCGGATATGATTTTGTAATTCAGACTATTAGGCTTCTGCAGCATAACAAACAAACAAAAAAGAAAAGGAAAAAACTTGAATGTTGTAGATCTTCATGCATTGTAACTTATTAGATTCCAGGTTTGAGATAGGAGCTCCCTGTTAAGTAATGTTAACATAGATAATAACATTATATATCTCTGATTATTTTGCTGTTTTACATTCTAAAATTAAATTAATGGGATAAAAATAAAACAGCATATTTAGGTGACATCTAGTGACTTACTACTGGTAATTTTACCTTAAAAATTATTAATGATTAAAAATTTCAGCAACACTCTTATAAAAGGCTTAAATTTTTAACTCTTAACACTGTGAAATTGCCTAATGAACTGTCATTCATTTGGTCAAGAGAATGTTATATATTCCGTGAAAAGACAATACCTTATAATATTTTAGCTACAATTGCAACTTATCAGTTTTACATTTTTTTCATTGTTTTTACATTGCTGCTCATGGCTAACACAGAGATAAGGAGATCCAAGTCTAGAGTTAAGAGTTAAGGCAGCACTATAAACCAGATGATTAGCACAGTGAGTTTCCCATAGGTAGCAAGTGTTGTAGATAGCACTGTGCTTGCTGTTTAGCTATTAGAAGCCATATTCTCAAGTAACCATTATGTTTTTTGGGAAACGTAGCATAATAAATTTAATAAACACAGTTTTGGTTTTTGTGTATGTGAGATATAAATTTTATGATATAATACATGCAAATGATGAAGACAAATAATTTTATCCAGAAAAGTGCTACTAAGATGGTTGGATTGTAGGAGACCTTTGTTTTATGTTTATTTCCAGTATTTTCCAGTGTTTTTAGAAAGAGTGCTTCATAGTAAGAAAAAACAATACTATCAGAATATGATTCCTGACTGAACATCAGAAGCAGATTAACAGTCAACTGAAAATGCTGTGCCAGGCAAGCCCCAGGCATATAACCCGAAGATGGTTGCAGGCCACGTTCATGTATGAGGCCAGGCATGGCCTCAGGAATCTCCACAGTTCCATGGCTGATGAATTACTTAACATTCAGCAGCCATGGAGAATCATTGCAAATCTGAGAAGCTCTCCATATAGGCTGCTTTTCTAGCTAGGCAGTCCTGGCATCTGTTGGTGCAAATTAAAGAGTTCCTGTATACCAGAGAAGCCATTAAGAATGTGTAAGACCTGGGAATCATACCCATATTGTAGCCAGGGGGCATATTGCACCTGGTAGTCCCAATTCAGGGACATTAAATGGGGATTCTGAGTTATTGGATCAAAACACATAGAAACAACGATGGAAGTCAGCCTGCTTGTCAGACTGGATTATCGATGATCAGTGAGATATGTTCCTAGCTTGCTATACAGTTCTGGGAGGAAACCAGTGGATATCTATCTGGCTTACCTGAGTGGTGATGGTAGATACCATCTAGCTGAGGATAGAGATGACTTATGTCTTCAGGGCATTGCAATTAACTAGGTTAAAGCAATCAAAAACATGCTACGTTTTTCTTGTGTGGATCAAGGAAATGATCTCCACCTCCAAAAATCTTGGATAGAGGCTTAGGAGATTCTTCCATGGGCATGAACACTTGCTCTGCAGGCATGAGAGCCTGGTTTCAGATTCCAGCACTTAAGTAAAAAAAAAATCTAGGCATGGCTGTGTGTCCCTGTTACCCTAGCATCAGGAGCAGAGACATACGGATACTGAGAGCTTGCTGGCTAGCCAGCCTAGCCTAAATGGTGAACTTCAGGATCACTGAGAGACCATGTCTCAAAGAAATAAGGCAGAGAGTGATATAGGATGACACCTGACCTCCCCTAACCTGCGCATGCATGCACATGGTCAAGGAGATGCACACATTTGTGTGTATGCAACACACACACACACACACACACACAAAAGGTTAGTGGACACTGCCACAGAACAATAATAAAGACAATTTTCAATACTCTTTTTCCACTAATACTTTCACTGGGCAGTTCAGCCTGAGTTCATAATGTACTTTGAAGTCACTTAACACTTAAGACTGCTGTCCTACTGTGTACTCAGCCTGTTTGTTTAACCTGCCTGTAAGAGAACAATGTAAGAACAAACATTCCATGCCTTGGATTTCCCATGTAAACAACAACTAATGTATTACAGTGTTAAGTTAGATGTTCTTTCCTGCTCCTGACTCAGCATAATGTAGGTTTGTGTATATGTTGTGATAGTCATTGGCTAGAAACTGTAAGTAGACCGAAAGTGTCTTATAACATGACTATCCACTCTGAAAGCAACACACAGATATTGCGTGGTAGTGTTTGTTGTTCGTTTGTTAACGAGGTCACTTGGGGTCGTTTGGAGACAGTGGCTCGTAAAACTCTGTTGAAGTTGTAAAGTATTCTAAAGTGTCCATCATTTCTTCCCCATGGGATGCTCTCTGCGATGATGTTCAATAAAAGAGAGAACAAAGCCTTTCTTGGGGACAGATATACAGGGACACTGACATGAAGCAGGCAGGACAGCATTCCAACAGTGTAGATCCAGACTTACCCAGCAGGCACGTGGGGATGATGGAAGACACGGGGAGAGCAAAGTAGAGATTTCAAATCTGGCTCATCTTAGTTAAACGACACACAGGGAGGTGCCTTGATTTCTTTTCTTAGTCCAACACCAACACATTGTTGGTGCCTGGGTTTATTATTGATGTGTCCAAACTGACGGCAACTAAGTTTTATCTATATGCCTAATATTATTAATCCAATTATTATCCTGGAGTGAAGGATGAATAAACAATATAACAATAACACTAACCCTAGTATTATCCATATGCATAGTACTATTAATCCTATTATCCTGGAGTGAAGGATGAATAAACAATATAATAATAGCAAGTGCATATGACCATTGATGGGCATTCATATTTTCTTGCTGGATTAATTAAGCCAATTCTCACATAACATCATGAACCACCTTCATGTGGATGCTCAAAATTTTATAACTTAGCATCAATTAAGAGCCAAAGTCACTGGGTAGTGGTGACACACGCCATTAATCCCAGAACTCAGGAGGCAAAGGTAAGTGGATTTCTGAGTTTGAGGCCAGCCTGGTCTACAGAGTGAGTTCCAAGATAGTCAGGGCTACATGGAGAAACCCTCTCTCAAAAACAAACAACCAAACCAAACAAAACAAGAATCAGAATTACCTTTTATCCCAGATCCCAGAAGTGTAAGCCCTGGTCCAAAAAAGGAAAGACACAGTCAGTCAGTCCTGGGGTAATGGTGGTTGGGGAGATGGTCAGTTCTTAATGTAATTCTCAAGCAAGCAAGACAACTGGAGTTCAGATTCCCAGATCCCACATAAATTCTGGATGGGTACGACAACTTGACTGTATTTGTAGCAGGTTGTCTGAGATAGCCAGAGGCAGGAGGGCACCAGAGCAAGCAAGCTAGGAATAATACTAGGTGTATTGGGCAGTTCTGGGTTTGAATGAGAAACCCTACCTCAAAGAAATAGGTAGAATAGCTCTGGAGGAAATTTCCTGATACCAACCTCAGGCCTCCACATATACACCCACACAAACATGCATGTATACTTATGTATGCATCTGGACATACATATACCACATGCACACACATATACCACATGCACACATGCATGAAAGAGGAAAAAAGAACCAGAGTCCTATGTAACATGGAAAGGATGCTTTTGAAAGAGCCAAAAATGATTATATGCCTATTTTTCCCCTACAGATCAGAAAAAGGAGCCATTTCCCGATGCCAGAACTTCAGCTGTCAATCTCATACCCCAACTTGACCTCAGATGGTTATCCTGTACTATACCTGACTGGATGGTCGTCTTCTGACGTAAGTCACATATGCTTTTCAATCAGGCCAGGTCACGACCATCATCTTCTTTTTCAAAAGTCCCATCTACTTATGTGTTTTGTATGGGGTGGTGGTGGCATGTGTGTGCCACCGTGCACAGGGGAGGTCAGAGGACCTTGCAGTAGTTAGTTCTTTCCTTCTATGATGTGGGTCCTGCAGTTTGATGACTCAGGGGCATCCGGCTTGGCAGCAAGTGCCTTTCACCAGAGGCCGTGGGACAGAACTCAAGTCACAGGGCTAGCAGTGAGTACTTTTCACCTGCCAAGACATCTCTCCAGCCCACGGTGACCTTCCTCGCCTAACATGTAAGCCTCATGCTTTGTAGGACCCTTGTGATAAGAAAGGCTAGTTTAAAAACAAATGGAGAAGCATTTAAAAACTAATAACTCCCATCAACTACTTAGAAGGTGCCAGTTCAATATCTAGGGTTCCTGAAACAAGCTGCAGACAATGAGTAATTAAACACGATAGTTGGTTATTTAATAATGTTGGGGGCCAGCAGTCCAGTGTCAAGGTTCTGATAACGGAGATTCCCTCCGGACCATGCTTTCCCTCTCAGTGTTTGCTGGTAACTCTACGCATTCCTTGACTCCATTCCTCCTGTGATTCTGTGTTCATTTCTGCCTGATGTTTTTCTGTACACCCACCATTGGATTTGGGGCTTTCCTGAAGTACAAGATGTTCTTACCCGAAGAACCTCAATTTAATGACATTTGTGAAGACTCAGTTTGCAAATAAGGTCATGTTTACAGGTTTCAGGATGTTAGGACTCAGCAGTGACCTTTCTGGAATCATGGTATAATCCAGTAGATCTTACGTAATTAATTGTTGATGGACACATGAAATTTTTGTTGCACTTTAATTTCTTTGAGGGAGTCAGTTCAATAAAGAAGCCTTATTTTACTTCTAAACATACATAGCTGTCCACAAAAGAGTAGATGACTGTGTACTCACCCCAGACAACCCCAACATTGTAGCCCCATTGTGCTTGTAGCACTGAATAGACTAAGTGCTGGGTTTATTATTATTATTATTATTATTATTATTATTATTAATTATGTGGCATTCATTATTAATATTATTCTATATGTAGTGTCTAAAACACAGAAAGTCACAGTAACTGTTAATTTAGTATATGCATGAACTGAACATTTAACATTATGCCTTCTTTTCACAAAGTTTTTAAAAACTAAAGCCCTCTCGGAATTAAAAATAAAACATGGCAACTGTAGTATTTGCCTTGCAATCATTTAAATATTTTGCTAAGGGCAAGGAAAAAAAAATCTCTAGAATTTCCCTTTAGTCCAACAAAACAAGCATCAAATTGAGCCTATAGCAACATGCTAGCACTTTCTTTGTTCTCAGTAGAATATGTATTGCAATTTAATATATATTATGAGAATATATATATATGTAATGGGAATTTATCAGCTGTTCTTTGAGAAACAATAAATCAATAACTATGTTACTCATGGAATAGTGAACTCTGATAGCATCCTTCCTCCTCTGTTGCAATTAGAAGGGTCACGGAAACAGTGATTGTTATCCGAGTAGGAACACATCGTGGATGCCTCACAGCTTCTCTACCCTGCACACTCACAAACGGACCTTCAATAGATATCAACAGCTGCCATGTGCAGATTCTTCATGCTATTGCACCAATTGGCCTTTTCCCTCGGGCTTTGCCACTTTCTAATGAGGAAACATTTTCCTTCCTTAGAATGTAAACTGCAAACCCCGGAGCCTTGAGGATCCTTTCGGTATCAATTCTGGGAAGAAAATGACAATATCCAAGTCTGAGGACCTCAAAAGAGGCACAATCCAGGTACACTAAATTCCATTTTTACTTGATGTTTTCCAAGTGCAGAGCACCCAGTATCAACTTAGAAATAAATAACTGTCTGAAGAATTTACATATAGAGCCTGTGACCAGATTGCAAGCACCCTAACGTGTCTCTGTCTATCCTACAGGATTGCAGTACCTGTAAACTTGCCACCATCACGTGCAATCTCATGCCTTCCGATGTGAGTCAAGTGAATGTTTCACTCATCTTGTGGAAACCAACCTTCATAAAAGTGAGTGGTTGAATTGCTCTAAGCGGTTATCGAATCCAATCAGTAAGTGTTAGTTCACTCTTAGTGTGTTGGTGCAAATCACAGCATTGCTGTGGGAAGAACCTGAGGCTGGGAGTCTCGGAGAATGTGACTGAGGACCAGCTCTCCTTCACCAGCTGTGTGGGGTCATCTTCCCCATCTGTCAATGACAGAATTATCAACAATGTTCCCTGCCAGATGCAGGGTTCTGGGGCTCTTTCTTCCTCAATGTTTGCACTACAAGAGAGAACTACTTCTCTGGTACTGAAGTTTAGGTTTATATCCTAATAGTTTGGGACCTCGTTAAGGTTCAAAAAATAATGGAGAGACATTCTTTGATACCATTAACAAAGTAGAGGACTTTAATACATTATAGAACAGTGATTTATTTTTGAAATTTCTATGCAAGTATATTCTGTTTTAAAACAGTTTATTGTATTTTGTATTTTTTTTGTTTTCCTTTAAAGAAATATTTAGTTGATCGTATGAAACTGAGCATTTTAGGTTTGGTGCTATTAAAATGATATTTTGCTAAGTCGTGGTGTTTTGATGTTGTTAATTTCATGCACAATCCTTAATAAGTGCCTGTGCATAGTCCTCATTATCAGATCATAGCTATCCCACGCCTAGATGCGTGAGAAGCAAGAGAAGTTTGAAGTTTGTTTTTCTAGAGAAAAATCAGATGAGAAATTACTTTGAAGTTTCTAATCCTCATTCTATGAGAAGGATCTTAAGGACAGTTTGGTGGGGGGAGCGGGGGAGGAAGGAGGAGGAGCCCCCAGTCACCACTGCATTAATCTCACAGAACAATCTCAGGGTTTTTTTTTTCTATTTTCTTTTTCAAAAGTACACAATGTATTTTGATCATATCTACTCCTCTCTCCCCTTTCCAGCTCCTCCTAGAACAACTCCCAGCATCATATCTTTCTTCTATAACTTTTTATTTATTTTTTAACCCACCCAATCTAATTGGAGCTGCCCATACGCATGGGTGTGAGGTCCTCCACCAGTGGCCACACTCGTAGCAGCCCTAAGTAGATTCAGCAGACTGTGTTTTGTATGTACTCATATGTAACAATAATAATTAAAAAAATAAGAGATAATGATTTGAAAGGGAGTAGGGGTTTATGGGAGGGAGGGAGAGGGGAGTGTGCGACTATATTTTTATTTAAAATATATTTAAAAAAAAGAAAAGAAAAGAAAAGTGACTTTCCACCTCCCCAGCAGCTATCAACAGTTCCTCAGCTAGAGATGGGACCTCGGGAGCACCTTCCTGAATCCATATCAGATCTTTAGCTGGCTTGGTCTTGCCTGGTCTCGCCTGGGTGACTGCAGCTGGTGTGATAATTATGCTGGTCACACACGACCATCACTCACCCTGATTAGCACGGTACAGTAATAACGAGTCCTACCTGCCTTGCAGACACATTTTTCCAGCTTCAATCTCACGATAAGGGGAGAACTTCAGAGTGAAAACACAACGCTGACTTTAAGTAGCAGCAACCGGAAACGAGAGGTAAGCGAGGCTGCATGACTGGAGATATTTTCTGCCTTCCACTCCAAACGGTCCGTCTGAAGATAATAAGCGTCTCACTCCCAACTTGCTGGTGGCATTTTCTGTTTAGTGCACAGGGGCTGCCGCAGTGACTGATTTGACGCTCTTGTCAGAGACTCTTTGATTTCCTTTTCATTGGGCTTCTAACGGGATTTCAGGCTTGTTCTTACTCCCCAGAAGCTAGGAAAACCGTGATGTTTACAACTCACTGACTGTGCTTTACTTTATCGCTTTTAACTCTGACAGTGACTGGATGTTTCCACTTTCGCTTTAGTGACAAAGGGAATGCTTTGTGAGCTTCCTCCTTAGGATCTAACATTATATAATGCAGGTGGCCTTAAATCTATTTACAGAATGCCTGTCTATTGTGTATATGTGTATGTGTATAAATAAATGTGTGTATGTATGTATGTATATATATATGTGTGTGTGTGTGTGTGTGTGTGTGTGTGTGTGTGTGTGTGTGTGTGTTATGTGTATAAGGTTTTAAAACTCCTTCACTTAGTTACTGCGAAATCCCAAACAAAAGTGAGGCCTGTCAAGCTGAGTCCTTGGTAAAAATACAAGTATTTTACTCCTGACTTTTTAAACTCAAAGGACTTGTTTTAGACAAAAGCATGATTTTCTCATCTTGTCCTGGGAAACTTTAGATATCCCACCTGGATGAGCAGGACTGTGTAAGCTGCAAAATTCTGCTTTGAAGGGCTCCACTTTTGATCGATAATAAATTTGATGTTATTGGACATGTTGAGGAAATGAAAGGCATTTTCAAATGTAAACCCGACGGGGTTTGTTTTTGTCTGCAGTCATGAGATGAATTACAACGTTTGGTAGAAAAACTGCAGTCTGTAAGAACTCCGTGTTCCGGGAGTTCTAACGGGTGTTTATCAGTGTTAACAACCTGGTGTCATCGTTTTCAGCTGGCTATTCAAATATCCAAAGACGGGCTCCCAGGCAGAGTACCACTGTGGGTCATCCTCCTGAGTGCCTTCGCTGGGCTACTGCTCTTGATGCTGCTGATTTTAGCTCTGTGGAAGGTGAGTACCACTGTCGCTGTCACCCTTTGTTCCGGCTACCAACAGAAGACTGGCAAAACAAATGATGAGTTATCGATGCTTTGGAATATAATAGTATGTAAACATTTATGATAAGCGATAATTTTTAAAAATGCAACATTCTATACACTGGGTAGTACACATCTTGTTTTTGCAAAGGAAAAAAGTACGCCTCCATTGGGGATACATAGATCCAAAACTCCTAGGGGACCTCTTTACAGGTAGGGATTACTGAAGACTGTTTAACAATAAACTAAAATTTTATTAAGGATAATTATTATCTTTAAAAGTGGTGGTGGCACACACCCTTGATCCCATCACTTGGGAGGCAGCAGCAGGGGGATCTCTGTGAGTTTGAGGCCAGCCTGGTCTTCAGAGCTAGTTCTAGGATAGCCAAGGCTGTTACATAGAGAAACTCTATATCAAAATACAAAAAAAAAAAAAAAAAAGATTGAATGTCTGTGTTGATGTAGGGCATACAAGGACTATTCATGGTTGAGATGAACCTTGTTTAAGCCATATACCATTCTATGTGTCTTAAAGATAAAATGTTTCTTTGGTATATAAACAAAGAACCCATGTTTTCTGCAATAATTGTGTGGCTGTCTAAGGAACAAGTAATGTAATAGTTAGCTGCCATAATAAAGAATGTAAAGTTCAGAGACCACCATATCAAATCCTTTTGGAACACCAAATGGCAATCTGTTTTCTCTCAAGTTAATCTTGACATTCACTGAGATGGTATAAGGTGAGAAATATAAGAACATATCATTTTCAAACAAGCTATGATGATCACTTTTAGAATGAATTACTAGAAAGCAACATTCCATAGAAAAGTTGAATTCAATGTTTTTTTTTCAATTAAATATGGAATCCAAACTGCCTGGCATTAACATGTTCCTATATTTCACCTACTGCTTTCTTAAATAAAATTATACAAAATGGAAATGTAACTGCATATTCATTTTTCTAACAGTAAATGACAGAATTATTTAATCAAATAGTTTATATAGCAAGTTTCTCTCCGACTGAACTACAGCTGTCACCATTTTTTCTGGCTTTTCTGTGGTGACAAACTTCCCTTTGGGGGATTTCCTCCAAGGAGAACATCCACAAGTAGCATTGAATTCCACAAATAGAATCCATGATCCAGCAAAGTCCCAAGACACAAGTTACATTCAGTATTCTTCCTCTCAAGTTCCAAGATGTTAGTGCTCACTGTAATACCTAGATTTGCCACACTGCGGTGCCCAAGGCCGGGTTTACAGCTTGTGTTGACACAGAGGCTGTGGTTTCCCCACTTGGAAACACCTCTTGGCTCCTCTATCTTTCCAGCCTCTCCAACACCTCTTCATTCATCCTGGTGGCACTGGGAGCTGCAGTGTGTCACACTGTGTACCCTCTTCTTAAATACTCACCTTCCACTCTGGTAAAATCCTCCCTGATTTGCTGTCCTGGAGCACATGGGCGCAGGTGAAGGACTGAGTGAAATCCAAGTCCGGACTTTCCTTAGTCGCCACAGAGGAAATGACTGGTGTTCAGGAAAATATAACCTCAAGGCAGTTTCCAAGTTCATTTGTCCTGTGACCACCCTTTCCTCATCTTCTAGCAACTAAATTCTGGCAGAGAGAAGCCCCTGACTAAAACTTCCTTGCTTGGAAAGACTTACTCTTTATCATCTGTCCCTCTGAGCTCTCAAGGGCTCAACCATCATTTATGAAGTATGTCGTCCCAGGCTGGGGAGACAGTTTAGTTAGCAAAGTGCTTGTCTTCCAAGGATGAAGACCTGAGTTCCAGCCCAGAACACACATTAAGAAAAAAATCGCGATGGTTAAGCAGTAGTGGCTGGAGAGATGGCTTAGCAATTAAGGGCATGTACTGCTCCCACAGGAGACCAGAGTCCAGTTTCCAGTACCCACATCAAATGGCTCACATTTACCTGTAACTCCAGATCCAGGGGATCTGACGCTTCTGGCCTCTGAGGGCACCAGCTCTCACATGCACATTCCTACACATAGAGACACAGAATTACACATAGTAAAAATAAATCTTTTTTTTTTTAAAGTTGTGCATGTTGGCATGCAGTTGTAATGTGATTATAATCCCAGCACTGGCAGTGGAAATAGGACACACACACCCCGGCGCGCGGGGGCTAGTATAATAGGCCAATGAAAGATGCTGTCTCCAAAAGAAAGTCCACAGCTCCTAAGGGACCATGCCCAAGTTGGTCTTCTAGCCTCTGCGTGCACATTGCACCACCACCATCCACACAGGTACCCCACAGCAACACGCACCTGTTATCCATAGCTAGCCATAGATTCACATGATATGGATATGATTGCATTTGCAAATAATTAACTCACTTAAATTTTTTAAAAAATTTAGACACACAAAGTTTAAGAGCTACTTGCCTAGTACCCTTAGGTATGTTTTTTTTTTAAAAGTTAAGTGTTAGGCTTAAGAAAGATTAAATTATTTAAATGAGATTTAATTTATTCAATACATTTTAAAATAAGGTTAGGTCACTTCCAAAGTTTCATTGTGTGTCAAATGCTTTTGCTTTCTGTATAATAGGAAGTAAAAATAAAGGCTGATAACTTTGCTAATGGTTCAATGACAAAGAGTGGTGTAATGTGACTTACATTAACCACTATGTGATTTTTTTTCTTACCATCAGTGACTCTGTTTTCATAGGTAAATGACATGGGGTCTTTCGAGAAACTTCTCTTGGAAAGCTTATGTGCAACATCCTGACCCACTTAGAGTCATCTAGATAGTTCTGACATTCCCCTGGCACCTTACCCATGGCCTTCCACCAAGCTCGCCAGGAACTCTAAGAATTTCAATGTGTGACCGTGGGTTACTTGAGGGAAATGTTTCTGCCACTTGAAAACAATGATGGTGACACAGGAGAAACTGTCGTTCACCTGCCTCACATTTCCCAGAATGCTGCTTGTTTCACACATGCATGATTTTTACTAGGCCTAACTATTGTGGTGTACTAGCCAAAGATAAAGCAGCAGTTTGACAGATGTTATCTAATTTACATTCAGTACTAACTGATCAGCTAAACTATGCATCAGGTATTGGAATAGTTGTATGCCCAGATTTTCTAATGCACGGTTAAATCTAAATAGATTGGCATCTATTACCTCAATTAAAATAATTAATGGTGTTATCTTTTGCATTTTCTCAACAGATTGGATTCTTCAAAAGGCCACTAAAGACGAAAATGGAGAAGTGAAATATTTCACAGGAGGAAAAAGAACTGTAACAGTTATTCAATGATCTATCCTCAGGTTTGCCTCAATCATGTGAGAAGAAATTCAGAAATATAACCAAAGACATGGTCACATAACTCTATGTAATCCATCATCCAGCTGGGATTACTCACTTGGAAAGTGACAGATCAAGTATGATCCAAAAAGGGTACCCAAAGATATGGTTTAGAAAGTGATGAGAAATACTTGTAATAATTACTCATTTTTGTTGAGTAAGTGAAATGACAAAATGTTTTATAGAAGAATCCCCAATATAAGTATGTTTGTGTGTTTAAATGCCATGCAGAATATTTAAGGGATGCACAAAAAGAGCTTTGTGTTCATTGAGACAGTTACTCTCAGCCCAATGTAAATTAAGCTTTTCCCCTTGATTATACCTTCAGAGTGACACTCAGCATCTGTAATTGCCAACAAAGGAATGGAGTGGAAAAGATCTCCTAATTCTGATGAGAAAAGCTTTGCCTAGCAGAGTCCATGTAAAATATAGACTGAAAATAGAGTTAAATCATAAAACGAACACTCATTGACTTCTTGGTTTCTGTAGTTGGAAAAAACAATGGTTTTTCCAATGTGAAAAAAAAACAGTGTTTTCCAATGTGATTGGAAAATAGTGCCATTGAGCTTAAATTCTATATAGAATAGACAGTCAAGATAGAGTTGTTATTTAAAAACAAGGCCACTGCATCTATTCATTTAAACTTCTACAGAAAGTAAAAGTGCTTAATTTATATTGAGCTCTAAAACACAAAACTCTTTTATAAAGGAAAAAACACTTAAAGCCATTTGTGTAGCATTCATGAAAAGTCACAATGTGTGTGTGTGTGACACCCAGAGGGTTTAATGAAGCATGAGAGCATAGATAGATAACCCAAAATAACTAAAATCATCCTTGCTGAGCAGTTGTTTAAAACTAGGGCTTCCAGATGTTACATTAAAGTAGGAGACTTCTCGACACTTTGGTATAGAGTTCAGTTAAAACCCCAAGATATGAAAGTTTATTTTCAAAATATTTAATTTTCTAAATACATTTTATGTTACTATTGAAAAAACAGTCTCCTGAAGTAGTTTTATATTTTACCAAGAATTCATTGCTTTTAAACATGGCATATCAGTATTTAAACAGAAACCAAGAAATGTAGTTTAAAGAATTTATAGCTTAAAAACTTAAACCAGCAGAAAGATACAACTCATTTGCATGTACTTCTGTGTTCCTGAAGTTCCTAGGGACCTTGGACTCCGCTGTAATGTAAGCTCCCAGATTGCTCCATTTCTAAGATAAATAACAATGAATGAATGTACAGTATCTTCATGTGTGAACTACTGCTGTAAAATTTGCTGATCCTCCTGCCCCAAAACCACTTCTCCGCCTGATGGACCACCGTCAAGAACGGAACCTGTCAATATCCCAAAAGAGCTGGACTCTGCTCTCCTCAAAACACAGCAAGCCAACAGAGAAATTAAGTGCTATGGGTTTGATTATTTAAAATGTATCTCTGAGGAATTATCTTAGGGCTCAGATTCAGCCTACCTCTTGGCTTTCCAGCCCTATGTGTAAGATCCTAAGGCCTACGGGATGGACATGAGGATGCCATAGTCATCCCTGGCTGGAAGAAAGGTAGACAGGCAACAAGAAGAAAGGTGTGTTCTCCACTCACTGTCTCTCACCGGCTTCGGAATCATGCCTTCCTCCTGTTCTTCTTTCCCCATCAGAACTCAGGTGTTTCTTGCTCAGTTACCATGGTGCCCAACTCCAGCACTCACACTCAGCAGCCCTACTTCTAACTCCAGGCCTTTGGGAATGAAATTCAACCCGTACATTTAGACTCATCTTCGACATCAGGGACTGCCAGGCGCTAGACTCTATACACTGAGCTACAAGTGTGCATCTTTAAACTGAAAATGTCTTTTAAATCAAAAGGGCTTGGCAGAAATAAGGACATTTTGAACTTTTAAAGAGAGGAAGAGCAGTTAGGCCAGATAAAAAGGTGCCAAAGCCACTTATCTACCAGTTTGTAACATATGTTATTCCTGGTTAGCAGTAAATATTCAAGGAATCAGACATCTCATTTCTCCACTATGATAACTGAATCTGTGTGTGTGTAATTGTTTGTACACACATACACATACCATTTTAACACAGAACAACTGTGCTTAATGACAGAGCTTACAATTAGGGCAAAAACTAAGCACACAAAAGCAGCAGCACCAGTGATGAGAGTCTGTTTCCTTTGCTTCTCAGACAGTATTCACTTCCATTAATATTTAAGTTTAGTCATTATTTTGTAAGCTAAAAAAATACAAATGCAGAGGCTTTGATTTAAAAAAATGATCACAGATGCCCAAAATTAGCTTTCTAGAAATATTCTAGAGCATATAAATAATTAAGAAATAACTAAGTTCTAAACATTATTTTAAAACAATAGGAAAAATCGGGTGATACTTAAGACTATTTATGAACTTACGAATTAAAATAAATCACCAAGTATCTTGTAGCTTTGATTTTTTTAAAGCACTATTTCTTCCATTTTCCACTGTGAACTGAACTATGTGTGCATTCTCTGTCCTGAGTTACACACACAATGGAACACGAATAAATTACTCAACATATTGTTCTTCAAGAGGAAAAAATACCCCAATATTTTGACTTTTGTGGCTTGATTGCTCTCTCCATAGCCACTTCCAGATACCTAACATAATCCTGTTCAGCTTGCAGAATTCCTACCAATGTGTGTCAGAGCTTACCAACTAGTACGAGATACTGCAGCATATCACTGAAATAAACTATGTAGTTTAATTCTACGTAGTAGAAAAACTGATGTATAGAGATGCAGATCAGTGTTCACAATCTACACACACACACCTAAGCACGCACTCTAATCAAGCTTCCAGTTATGCTGAAAATACTGGTAGTATCAATTCCAGAAGTTAGAATGCTACAGATCATTCATCCTTTAGTTTTGAATTTCTAAGACTAATCATTCTTTACTATGAATACGAACTTGCAAGGAGGAAGGACTTGAAAGGAAGAAAATACAAAACATGGCCTGCACTCCACTAAGAACCAGAGCCACTTGGGAGTCACAAAGAAACTGTTCTGCTTTCTCAAGAAGCTCACAGGCCTGAGGGGACATGAGGAAAGGTCTTCTCTGGCAAAAATTGGGATCTGATTTAAACATCAGTGGTGTGATTTGTTAAACTATTTTTCTGTGAGTACTAGGATCATTGGCGACTTTGACCCCAAATATTTTCTGTGTCATATGTATACTTGAATAAAAGCTTATTTTTATTATTTAAAATAAAAATAAACACACAAAGGAAGAGAGATTTGTATAAAATTTGATGCTTAGGCAGCCAGAATAATTTTTATCTATATAGATGTAGCTATAATGTGAATATATTTTTCATAGAAAATCATCTACTTTTCCTTTTATAAACCAAAATCTAAGCTCAATTGGAAAGCAGAAATATTTGTATAAGAAATTTGTGATAGAGTGGCACTGTATTACAGCAGTGGCTATGGAAAGCTCTGGTTTTACTCTTAGTAAAACCACAGCTAACACACTGAATGGCAGCCATTGGCTACCACAGAGTGTGCTTTCCGTAGCAACTTCTTCATTGAACATACCATCAATTTTTTTTATTAACTCCTATCCTGCTCTGCACGATGCTGAGCAAACTAGAGAAGACCCAGGTCCAGAATCTGCCTCATGTGCCAGGTGTACTTTATCATCCAAATAAAATGCTTTCTGGTGAATAAGTTGTTCAAAATCACATTTTATGCACTCTTCATTGGTTCTTAAAACCACCCAAGCATCCTTCTCCCCATCACTCTTCTCCTCAAATGTTTTTCAGAAAGACTGCCTTAGTAGCCTGTTAATAAGACGTGTACTCCTGTTACTGTGAATGCCAACTTCAGTGAACAGACCATTCAAGTTTTCCAACCTAGCTTTTTTAATGACACTCCAAAGGGTTGGCATGGCATCATACAGTATAATGTACTTCAGAGATGCAACATCCTTCCTTGAGAGGTGAACAACCTTATGGGCCACTGTTCTCCATGGCTCTATGGGGGAAAAAAGGGGAGGGATTTAAGCCTTCAGCAACTGTCCCTGCGTATTTTTACAATCCCCAGCCTCACCCAAGGGACAGTTCTAAAAAACTGAAAGAAGGGCTTTGTCCTCAGGCTGGTGCTGTTTCAAAATTACAATATGCAAATTAATTGCACCGAAGAGATGTTAAATGCAGCTACAACTTCAAAATGAATAGCCTGGGCTCTTGCTTCTAATTGGACAGTGGCCCCCAAGCTCTAGCTACCTAGAATCCAGAATCCCCCACTGCCCATTAAGTCTGTTTTGAAAGGTAAGCCAAAGCACATTGGAAAAGGCCACGTGCAAGGCTGGGTGCAGCCCAGTGGTGGAGTCCTTAGAGGGCTCATGCAAGGCCCTGGGTTTGAACTCTAGCACCACATAAGGGCAATGGGTACTATCATGCCGCCATTTCTCAAATGGAAGTACTGTTGTACACTACTAAAAAAAAAATACATAAAATATTTTAAAATAACTAAAAAAATGGCATTAAACTATGACATTGTGATCCTGTGAACTAATCAGTGCCTTCTATTAAAAGGTTACCTCAAATTCAGAAATTCAGAGTAAGAGTTTTAGCCATCAGCCATGAGGAGAAGACAGAGCAGCATGTGGAGGCAGCAAGTCCCAGCCCAAGGGTCCCTAAAACATCTGGCCCAGGGGGATGTACAGCTCTGACCTATGGAAATAAATAAATAAATGACAAAGGGCCTGAGCCCTCGCTGTTCCCACAGCCAAGGCTCTGCTCTCCATTTCAGAAACACTTCTTGGTGAACTGTTACTACACCGCAGATGCGCAAGGCTGAGTCTCACTTATCACTGTTGGTTCTGAGAGCAGCTCTTTGTTTACGTTGTTGACTGCATACTGCAAAACTTTCCTCTCGCATGTGATAAGTCGAAGATTTGCTCCAAGACTTCCGTGCTTTTCCTCCTGACACAGCCTGTAGGGTTGGTGATGCAGAAGATAGACATCAGGAGCTAGAGTCTGCTTGCAGCCCTCTTCAGCATGCCAATTAGGTTTCTCTTCCTCAGCCTGCATGTGCTTTTGGTGTGGGGCTTCCTCAGCAAGGTTGTCCCATGCCATATGCCCCTCGTGGGGACTAGGCTAGTGTCAAGTTATAGTTTATGAACAAAGACTCAGAGACCCCTTATTTATCACATCATGGGAATCATGGCTATAAAGCAGGGGCCAATGACATTGAGTGCTGTGGCGATGTTTGGCATTTGTGTGTTTCGAGGTACATACTTAGAGAAAGGAGTGTGGAGTTTAGAGGCTCTTATGCAAGAGTTTGAGGCTGAATATCTGATCTCTCATTCGTTGGATTTATGCTTATGAACTGAGAACAAAAATCTTAAAAGAAGTCTTCCAAATGCCATCAGAAATGGAAACCCACTCTGTTCATGATCAATCCCTATTAGTATTGTTTGTCCCCACACCTGTATTTTAGGAGCTGGAGAGAGATGGAGGGAGGAAAGGGAAGTGAATATTGTTTGTGTTTTCTTCCATAGAGTAGCCATAGTGAAGGAAGTCACCACATGTAGATCTGATGTGACGTGACAACTTACACTTTGATAAATACAAAAGAAATGTGGGCAGACAAGGCCATGAAACTACCTGTCTTTGATTTCTACCACCCAATCCATAAAAATGGCCAAAGTTTCCTAAGACTCCATGTGTCCCACCCCACAGCACAGCACTCACAAACATACTTGTCACTATAAGAGCGAAAGTATACTCTTACTTATAGATTAACCCCGGGCTAAGCTTCTGGGGTTAACACATCTCAGCGTCATGTGAAGACCATTGTCTGAAATGACAGTATGCAGGTTCTTCCTTCTGGAGTCATTCCACGCAGGTGATCCTAGTGGTTAGCATTTGGATCTGTGCTGCCTGCTGCCCTCACCTGGGGAAGCAGCAGGTCCCGGCTGCAGGATTAGGAAACACTGGCCTGTAGGGATGATACGCTGTGTGTTACTACTGTGAAGCTGTAAGATTGTTAATAGGCCATGTGCACTATGTATCTATCTTATAAAAAAGAAGAATATTGCATTTAATAACTACTGCCCTGGAGCATCCATCATACTCCCTGCACACATTTCTCCATTGCCTAGTTTAAAGCATTAGATTGCTCATTTTCCTAACTTACCTCAAACTGAACTCATCAAAGGGACAATTTAAAGTTATTTGCATAGAATTATTAAAAAATGATTAGGTGAAAACGCTTTGTTGACATTCAAGAACAAAGAACCTTTGCATAGAAATTTGTGGAATTTGCTGCGAGGTGACAGTCATTGGCGAGGTATAATTAGAATTAGCTGAGTGTGTGAAGGAGCGTTTTGAATGCTCTGTGTATGGCGTATCCTGTACACTGTTCTGAGGTCAAAGGTTTGATATTTTTGTATAATTCTATCTTATCTTGCACATCAGCTGTGTAATTTACGTCAAGGTAAATGAGCATCCTGTTTTATGTCTTAAATAAAAAATGACTCAAGGAAGAATGTGATTACTGTGATTTTTCAATATGTATTTTCTCCAAAATGAATGGGATTCCTTCCAAAGTATCAACTATTTTTTAAGCTCCATTGCAGCCTTTACTTTGGTACTCTACAAGGAAGGAAGAAAAAGCAAATTAAGTATGTCTGTGGTGTTTCCTGTACAAGATGCAATGTGATTGTCTTGCAAACTTGAGGCAAAAACCACAGAATCTATACAACTGCCTACCTTCTCCTAATGAGATGATCTAATAATAAATCTTTTGTTGTATAATAGGTTAGGCCAACTGAGGAAGTAAAATGAATCTCAACTTTTCCCACACAATCTAAACACAGATCATTTTCATGACCTTGAAAAGTGGGGATTTGTCTCATCAGCAAAGCAAGCAGTTCTGGAGTGGAAACCAACCAGTTGGGCATCTTGTAATTCAATCCAGGACGTTCATGATCTACCCTGAGGGAATACCAGGGATTACCAACAAGCTGGGCATCTTCTAATTTAATCCAGGATGACAATGTTCTACCTGGAGGAAATATCAGGAATTACCAACCAGTTGAACATCTTCTAATTCAATCCAGGGTGTTAATGATCTACCTGGAGGAAATACCAGGGATTACCAACAAGCTGGGCGTCTTCTACACTTGATCTTAGCCAAAAGGCTGAGAAGCGATAAGCTGGGCATCTTCTAATTTAATCCAGGATAGCCATGTTCTACCTGGAGGGAATATCAGGAATTACCAACAAGTTGAACATCTTCTAATTCAATCCAGGATGTTCATGATCTACCTGGAGGGAATGTCATGGATTACCAGCCAGCTGAGCATCTTCTAATTTGATGCAGGACCTCCATGATCTACCAGGAGGGATGTCAAGTCAATTCCCCAAGACAGTCCCTGCATTAGATGCTAGTCACTACCCCAGAGTTTGTAGCCTGAGGTTCCAACCAGCCAGCTTTAAGTCAGGATTCCCACAGTCCCCTCCCTGAATTCAAGATGTTCACATAACATGGAGAAGCGTTTAGATTTGCTGGCTTGTTGTAAATTGAATTAGAAAAGACATAGATGAAGAAATGCACAGGGCACGGTATGGGAGGAGATATACACTACTTCCAAGCCTCTCTGGGTGCCATACCCTCCAGGATCCTCCATTTGTCCGGCTGTTTGGAAGCTCTCTGGTTTCCCTTTGGGAAATTACAGAGACTTCTCCGAGGAGTATGATTTCTAAAAGGGTAGATTGGGAAAGTTACAAGGCCTGTCCAAATTTTTTTCAGCTTTTTTTTTTTATCTTCATTATGAAGCATGCACTCTCTCTCTCTCTCTCTCTCTCTCTCTCTCTCTCTCTCTCTCTCTCTCTCTCTCTCT